GGGGCGTAACTATCTTTTATTCGCGAGCTTTGAACGCACAGAGCTATAGCATCTCAAATACAAATAAATCTGATATTTGTCAAGGAATAAATGGCATGACAAGAGTAGTAAAGGTATAATAGTGTTTAGACTGGTTTTATTCCAGCAGCTTTTCTAAGCTGCTCCAAGATCAAAAACGTAACAATTGTATGTGGACCCATGCTGAAAATCAAATCAATGCATTAGCCACGTAATGGAATCAAATGCAGACATTAGAAATCATAATAGACTGTCACTTACCGCATCCATTGAGGAAGCCAGCCTTTGAAAAGCCCTGCAACTCCTTCTGCTTTCAGTGTTTTTTGAAGACAATCAAGACTAGTTTTGTATTTAACTCCAACTCCATCGCTCCCAAACTTTTGATTCATGTATCTAGACTTTACCAGATCCTGTTTAAACAAAATTGCAAGTGAAATCAGTCAATTCCATTTCAAGCAGCACTTGACTTTTCATTGTGCAATCCAGATTAAATAGTAAACTTACTACGGGAGATGTGGTTGTTGCACAGACAAACCCTGCAAACATGGAGCACACTAAATGTGTAATGATTCCTTCTCTAAAATATCCTGATTCCAAAAGAACACGTTTGGAATGATCATAACTGAACAAGTCTGGTTAGTACAGAGAATGCATAAGATAGATTCAGAGTAGACACGGCAATACCAGACTAAACACGTCTGACAACTAGATCTACAGTCGTGTAATGGCATATAGATGGTTGGCTTACCTAGCTAATTGGGATGCAGTTAATATAATAGCACGCTGGGTTGTCGGCCCAACACCTCGATACAATCCCTTGACTCCTTCTGCCTTGATGATATCCATAGTGATCTGGAAAACGCTTTTGGTGATTTTACCACTTTCAGCCTGCATGCGCACCTTGATAAGATCGGTTGGATTAGCAATAGCGGCTCCAACCATTCCTGAAATCCCACCAGCAATAATTTTTTTCCAAAGAGGTTCTCTATAAGGCATTGGGTTTCCATTCTTATCCATGGCTGGTAGAGACAGAGAACTGATATGCAGTGCATCCTTGATGGGTTCATAAAGTCCCATACGGATAGTGGAGTAGCTGGCTTCACGCAAAAGAGAGGCCGAAAACCCTTTGTAAAGTCCATTGATGCCTTCATCCTTGAGGATCGTTCCCATGCCACGCAGAAATCCATTGTATTTGAGAGTATGCGGAGTAGATGCTGCGGACGACGGCATTTCTACTGCACGCTTTCCCAGCTCTCCTTGGAGCTGTAGACGCACTTTGATCGTATCAACTGGATGTGTGACTGTATAGAGCACCACCAATTGGATGATTAGATCAAGACATGTATTATAATAGCCATCATGAGCACAGGAGTTGTGGATATATTTTACAATAAATATGCCTCAGTCAAATTTCCTATTCGATTATCAACACAATCTTGCAACAATGCAGATTTCAAGTTGTCGATGCATACATATTCAGATGCCAATCAATCTATACTTACAAAAGGCAGCGCACATGCATGATACGCCCCCAAAGAGGAACCCCAACGCACCTACTTGGGATGACATTTTAAATGGTTAATGTTGAGGAAAGTTTTGAAATATTACGTTCACTACTTGATTAGTCTGCAAACAGCGACCATTATATAATGCATACAATCTAACTGTGAACTGAAATTATCCACTTTTGGTAGTTATTGTACAATCACCAAATTTATCCATTGCAGTCCAGATATTGGGTTTGGTGCTATCAACCAACCCATATTGTTGTATTCTAAATTCCAAATACGCTTGTGCTTTAGTTTAAAACAGATGACATGTTTTAGAAAACACAATGCTATGTCCATGCCAGTCATTAGCGAAAAACAGTCGAATTTCAAGACATTGTCCAGTAAATTTGGCGAGAATTATCATTTCATAAGATTGTTTATGCACTTTGACACTTATTATTTAGTGTTCCGTTTTGCGTGAATACAACTGTAGTTATCGATGCCAAAGTATTACTGTGGTAAGTGTCATGTTGCTATGACCATGGATGGTGTATTCCCACTCACTGCTACTGTAGATTACTGTGATATTTTCTTGACGCATGACTCTGCGTCGGTTCGCAAAGCTCACAACACTGGCTGGAAACATAAAATGCAAGTAGAGCACTACTACAATGGTATGTCTATGTTCTGTTTGTCCATACAGACAGGTTCTGATCACTTGTCTGTATAATGGTAGACTGCTGCATGTCAGTACAATTATGGAATTGCTTTGATTCAACTCACCACTTTAATATGATCTGTTGAAATTCATTACAATGAATATACAATATAGCCGAGGTTGACCCAGCCAAAATTCAGTCAGTGATTGATAATGTCACTAAAGCATATATAGATGCCGGATTGCCTGGATTTCCTGGTAGGTTGTCATGCAACTTTACTAGCTCGTTGTCAAGCTGCAGTGTGAACCATGACTATCTTGATCCACTAATGCAGCATGTATAATTGTATTAGAGCTGATTGCAGTTGGAGTGAATGGACAACGAGGCCAGCCAGTAGGCGGACCTCCACGACCTCCACAACCATTTCATAATGGTGGACGACCTGGACCACCGGGGAGACCACCCATGGGCATGTTTCCTCCTCAACGACCCATGATGCCGCCCCCACATATGCGGCCAGGTCTTTCTCAAATGCCTCCTGGTATGCGTCCCCCTGGCCCTCCACCACATGGATTCATGAACGGATCTATGCCTCCACCACTAGGTACGCCAGTGATGGAGAATGGCCCGGTTGCTGGTCAACAGAGTCAGGCTCCTGTTGCTCCTCGTATTCATCCAGACCGTTTACGGTTAGCTGGAAACTGTAAGTTGGCATTGAATACTTTGGGCTTCTCAACACCATGTCTCATTATCTGACATTTTGCAACTTGGTTAGTTTAAGCGCGTCCATTCGGTTGTATGGAACTGCTGCATCTGGAAAGTTGTCCTTTACAAAAATATATAGCCATAAAATCAAAGCTTGTTATTGAAAGTATATACTGTTTCTATCCGTTCGGATGTCTCGACTCCCAAATTGCAACTCATACGTTTTTGTATCATTGTGCGAATGATTCATGAAACAATGTTGTGCTTATACTCGTTGGTTTGGCAATAGAATGCATTCAAAAAACAACTCTAAACTATTGCAAATCGGAATCGGTATTTTATCAAAGAACGATAGGTTGAAAAAGTAGTAGGATGAGCAGTCGACACCTTAAACTACTGGTAAACAAGGGGATACTAAAGCGGACGTGATCTGTAGGATAGCTAGAGAAGTGGAACACACGCAAAAGTAAAAATAGCCAATATGGCAAAAAGACCGTGAAAGAAAAGTATAGAGAGAGAAGCATCTAAACAAGTATAAAAGGAGGTTTTTCGCTTTTGCTGCCTAAACATAGATCTCTTGAAAAACGATGAATGCCAAGAATTAAATAGCGTGGCTTAACGAATGAGCAAAGATGAATGGCAGCGAACAATGCAAGAGTCTGGACATGAGCTGGTTTACAGAATCATGCAACCCTTTTTCTTGTCCTTTTTCTTTTCCTACAAAACCAGTAGATGAGTAACCCAATGAAACTACCATCATGTTATGCAATATCCAGTCAATCCAACACATTACCTTTTCGGGCATACTTTTGTTGATTTGGCGTACAAGGTCAAAAAAGACTTCATCCACATTGATCTTCTTTCTTGCACTGGTTTCCAGAAATGTGCATGTGCCCCATTGTGTCGCCAATGATTGTCCCTCTGTTTTGGAGACCACACGATCATCCTCTAAATCACACTTGTTTCCTACGAGTACCATGGGCACCTAAATCATAGCAGAGTTGAGTCATCCATGATCATGAGCATCGAGACTGCAAGAAATTCATTATACCTTGTCACTGTCCTTGACGCGCAAGATTTGCTCTCTCAGCTCAACCAGGTCATTAAAGGTTGCTTGTGAGGTGATACTATACGCCAGGACAAATCCTTGTCCGTTTTTCATATATAGATCACGCATTGCAGTAAATTGCTCTACACAGTATTGTTTTACAAAGATATATCAGAAATCAACCCATGCTAGTAGCTGGATTATCATGTAAACCAGTAACATGTCCAGCAAACATGGCATAGTGGTTATACCTGTTCCAGCAGTGTCTAAAATCTCGAGCATGCATTGTTGACCATCAATCTCAACCTGCTTTCGGTATGAATCTTCAATAGTAGGATCATACTTTTCGACAAAAATCGATTGGACGAATTGAACAGTCTAGATTATTGAATGGCAGTTTTAAAAGACAAACAGTGCCAGGATGGTTAAAAAGCATATCGACACCACGGGTTGATAGAGCACTGATATTTCTATGGCTATATAACTAGTACTGCACACAACAGGGTGCAATACGACTAAAGTTGAATAGGGCTTACCAATGCAGATTTGCCAACACCGCCAGACCCGAGAACAACAAGCTTGTATTCACGCATAGCTAGGCTTCAGTAATTGAATTAAGATAACAAATAGATATTATGTTTTGGCAGCTGCCGAGTAGTTTTAAAGACTGGATAGTAAATAGACAATCTAGGATAAAAGTTGTTAAAATACTATTTGGACAATTGTAAGTAAACTGAGATGGACGTGAAGAATGTATTGTGGGGATATAAAGGGAGCTTATAATGACCAATCACAATAGGTTTAGTTTAGAATGCTTTAGATTGAGCCTTATAAAAGACCAGTTACACCAGCAGTCAGATTTGTATATTGAAACATTGAGTTCCAAGATCCATACCATTCAGACAGATTTGTATTTGGGACTACACGAACATAGCATTGAACCATAATTGGTAACTGGCCAAGATGCAACAAGGCGTGATGCATGTTGAAAACAACTTTACGCAAGTCAATAAGATATGGTATCAAAAGGGGTATCATTAGATATGGATATGATAATAGTGGTTGTATGGTATAGAGGATGGAAATGGATAAAAAGGCTTGGCCATATCTAGCACCGAGTGGTTACAAACCTCCAGGGTTCTTAGATACCAACAGCTCAAGAATAGGAGAATTGGCGACTTGCTTTTAGATAAAGATTGCAAGTACATCACAGTCAAGCCAATGCCGACAGACTCGAGTCATGACTACAGAAGAGTTATCTGACTACTCTGCTGCATGCTTTTCCAAACCGGCTGGGTATAATTAACATGGTGATGATATCTATGGTCATCCACCCCAATGCATATCTGGCAACAGTATTTACTAGACAGTAGAACAGGTCAATCTGGGGTAAAGTAGATACGCAACCTACATAAGAATGCTTGGACCAACTTGCACTAATGTGAGTATATCTGCAGTCGCAAAGAGTACAAAACTTGAGTTGTAATGCAAGTGTAAGCTGCTTGTTTGGTTACTGCTGATAATCAAATGCGAATCGCAAAAACCTGACAGCGCGTCGCATTCATTAGACATGGAGTGGCTGTGTTGGCTAAAGTATTACTAAAAATATTACTAAAAACATCACTAAAACATCCCATTCTGCATTACAATCTAATCCAACTTTCTAGTGCAAACGAGTAAACTGCATAGATAAATCATGCAGACATAAAGCCAATCCAAAGTTTAAATACATAAAAGTGGAAATTTAGTGGGTTTTATCATCAAAAATATTCAAGTAGAAACTGCGTGACTTTCCTCATAATTATTATTCAATTGTTGGTCTGTAACCAATACATCGCAATGAGCTGGTGAGTCTACTAAATTTTACGCTGGCGATGTGTTCATGTCCATATATTGGTGGACGCTATCTTTATAGATATCAACTAGATTAACATGAGCTCATCTCCATGACACTGCAATTCATTTTTTGATTAGGAATGGGTTTGTCAAGGCTGTCAACAGAGCTACTACTACAGTAAGTATCCAAGTTTAACATGAATAGTATCTCGGTTCTTTGGACCATCATTCTAGTTCAATACGCTTATTGCTCTATGGCCAATGTCATTCGCTATGTGAAACCTCGACTTTACACTTTAATTGACACTTGGTCAAGTTGCAATTGCATCTTTTAGATGGATGTTCAACATAATGATATAGACTGGTACATGCACAAAGTGTGCGTCCGTATTAGACTAGTTGTGTGTTTTAAAGTTTGACTAGCCCCTGGTTAACCGGAATCCAACTTGGTTTCCATTATAATTGAGCAATGTGAATGTTAAATTAGCTAACACTACTCTGATCTACAATATTCATCTATTCATAGGTGATGCAATCTGCAGGAGCTGTAGAAAAGACTGTGAGTCTCAGATTTGAGCCTTTGTTTAATCAGATCTAGTCTATTTGATTCTCCAATCAATCGACTTTTACTCCAATCATTACAATTGTTGATCAGCTTTATATATTCGAAATGCTATATAGATTGACAAGGAATATGAGGCTGAAGAGCGCCGATTCAAAAAGTATGGATGCTATAAATTTGACTAATGCATTGCCATAAATTGGGTGTTAATGTCGTGCTTGTCTATTTAAATAGTATGGAGTCAAAGGTTGAGCGACTACATAAAGAAGCAAAGGGATATCTAGATGCTGTCAGAGGTAAATCACGACTTTGAGTTTGATGTATGGATTTATATAGATTATTTGGATTGATACTTGAATTTGATACTTACTGTTTCGTTTGCCTGGCATTAAACCGATATTAGCTACAACTGTGGCACAACAACGCATTGCTGAGATTATTGACGGTTTTTATGATGAAAGCTCTAAACTACACAATGCAGGCCGTTTGTATAGGGATGCCACCAACCGCATGGATGAAGAAATTCGCACTGAACTTGTAAATAACCATTAGAGTTTGAAATTTTTAGTAGAGCATATATGGCCTGTTGTTTATATTCTTGCTCAACTAATGGCATGATCTTTATTTAGGATGCTAATTATCGCATTACTGTCCTGGAGCCCGTTGGTAAACTTATTGGAGTATTTCCAGAGTTCAATGACGCTATCAAAAAGCGCTCTAAAAAACTGTTGGACTACGACAGACTACGAAGTAGTGCTCGTAAACTTGTAGACAAGCCATCAGACGACACATCCAAACTTCCCAAGGCTGAAGCGGAAGCCAATCAAGCCCGTAATATCTATGAAAACATCAATCGACAATTACTAACAGATATTCCTGAGCTCATCAATATGCGCGTGGCTTATCTGAATCCATCATTCGAGGCAATCGTCAAATCACAGCTCGCGTTCAATGAAGGCGCATTTCATAAATTGGATGGGATTAAGACAGCATTCCCTGAAGGGTTTGAACGAGGCTTGGAGGGCCGAGTTGAGGGAGTCCTTCAACAGATGCGCGAGCTTAGCATTTGCAAGTCGTCTTGAAAATATCGTAAATTAAATTAGGTTGACGTAAAGTGAACCCATATCGATGTTTTGTGCATCTATCCATCAATATCATCTTATTAAAACGATCGAGTTGTGTTCATTATATAAAGCAAATTTGGTGATGACTGTCGCATGGGAAGCGTGATATCAAGAATAGTTTGATGTATTCATCAAGATATGTTCCTATAAACAATAGCTAGTCTAGTAGTTCATTCGGCTACAAGTGTGTAGCAAGAATGCAGTTTGAAATAACAGTAGAATTCATTTCGATTGTGACTAGTAGTGTCTAAATTCTACAAAAATAGCTTATTTATGTTGGTGCAAGCAGCTGTGGCTTTTTGCCTGGATATAGCGCATAGACATGATCGCCAATGATTTCCAAAGCGGCAGAATTACCTCCGTACACTCGAGAAATACCCACATCAATCACGTAAAGCTTTCCGTTGCATCTGCGAAGAACTGATCCATCAAGCTGAGGTGTGTGGCCCACAACCATTCTGACAGCCTTATTTGATTGGTAAAGCAACCCAATGCATATATATTAAAATCTATATCAGCCAGTAAATGTACAATGTTAAAATAGTGCATGCTTACATTCATGTCTGCAAGTGCCTTGTCAAGTTGCTTGCATATTGATTTTTCTTGATCTTCAGCATATCCACGGAACCATAATGGACCAGATCCACCAAATATAGGCACCTGTTGGATCTCACCAGCAGACCGTCCAATAAGTCCATTGTGTGCCCTGAGGTTCATGCCATCAATGCCCAACTTTGCCCATTGTGGATGTGCACTAACATTTCAATAGTCTGTTAAGCTCACTGTAGAGAACATCAAGAACACACAATGACTCAGTTCATCACTTACCCGCCATGAAAAAACACAGTGCCGTTTACCCACGTAGTGATGTTTAATGTTCTTAGATAATTACCAGGCCACCCATCCTTGTCAAAAGCCTTTCTACGGTTTTCATGTCCACCAAAGCTGGAGTAATCGCCCTCGGTCACATACCGAAGATCTTCAGCCATATTCATGACCTCATGGTTACCAAGAAGCTGAATCACTTGGCCACCATGCTCTTCAGCCTGCACTTTGAGATCGTAAAGCATTTTGTAGAGCTTAATTGTGTCTGGACCTCTATCGACCACGTCACCCTAGTGTAGTAACCAGTCGAATGAATATAAATGGTATCGAGTATACCAAAAGTTTAATTCAGAATCCTGCAAACAAGCATAATAGTAACATGGTCAAAAACACTACCGTTTGAACAAATATAGAAGAGCCAGCAATCCATTCCTCATTGTCGTTCATAATGCGAGCCATTTTGAGAGTTTTGAGTGCCTGAGCTAAATCTCCATGCAAGTCACCAACAGCAATAATTCTGGAAGGATGAACCTCGACAGATGGGGATTCAGTTTCGATATTCTCAAATTGACTAGTAGGATCAAACGACTCGGATAATACATTCCTATTGAACATATCCAGTCGAGTTGACAGAAAGAACAGACTGAACGACAGGACTGCCAAAGTAGCGAGTAGAAGCAATGCACTTCTGATCCATGGTTTCCTGGTATTTGATACAGACTTGTTAGGACTGTCAGACATGACACCAGTGTCTTGATTTCTAATATGATCGTTGGTGGTAGAACTGAATGTATGTTCAGAGTCGCTCTGATTGTTATGAACAGTAGGCTTTATTGACTTTCGTAGCTTTGTAGATTGTTCCATTGTCAAGTTTCAGTTGCTCTGAATCCTTTTATCAATTGACGCCGCCACTTGGTCTATACAGTTGACCAGTATCAAGCTATTCAATCAATGCAGTTTTATTAGAGTTCTTTTAGTGCTCAGAGAATACGCTCGGATGAACACGGAATAACAATCGGAATTGAGAAAGTACGGAAGCGTAAGATTCATCAACTCCAATTTACTTGACTTGACCCAACACCTATCAAGATGGACATTGTCCTCAACTGGGCCGATTCTTATGCATTCGACAACATGTATTCAGCAATGCCCGAGATCCTACAGCCATACATCTCAGACCGTGCATTCCTTGTGCGCCAGTGCATTTCCTTATTCCTTATTGAAATGGCTGGTGTTCATCTTCTTTATTTTGCACTATCGTCCTTGTCTTACTACTTCTTCTATGACCGTAACCTACTCAAACATCCTAAGTTCCTCAAAAATCAGATTCGTAGAGAGATTTACTTGTCTGTCACTTCCTTTCCCATCACCTCGATTGTTACTGTTCCATGGTTTCTTTTCGAGGTTCGTGGTTACTCCAAACTCTATTACAATGTTCAAGACTACGGATGGCCATACTTTGCACTCTCCATCTTCATGTTTATAATGTTTACCGACTTTGGAGTCTATTGGATTCATCGGCTTGAGCACCATCCGTCATTGTATTGGTGGCTGCATAAACCTCATCATACTTGGAAGATCTCAACTCCGTTTGCTTCGTTTGCCTTTCATCCTTTGGTAAGTCTTGTTTTAAAACCCATACTCATGTAAAATCAACCATTTATCTTGCGGTCTCTGTTTTGTTTCGGAACAATCAATGGTTAAACATGCACTGTTTTCCTACTGGAAATTGACCATCTTGATAGAGTTTGATTTTGTATGCATCATATGATAAATGTTTAAAATAATTGAGAACGTCTGTCCTTTTCTCCTTGTTGTATCCTAAAAAGTCGGATACGCTTACGTTCTAGTTTGAGAACAGAGACTGCACGTATCGGAAATACAACTGTTTCCGTGTCAATCACCAAAAGACTAATGGACTTGTTAAAAAACAATGTTGACCAGTAAATTGGGTGTGGACCATCATTTCATGAAACTGGCTGTTTTTATGTACTGTGGCATCCTTTCTAGTACTTCATTTTATGCAAATACGATTGCAAGTGGAGTTGAATACTGCCAATAATCTAGTCTCATGTATTTATAGAGTAAATGGATTTTAGCCCATTATTGTGTATGACCACTTGATTTGACTCGGAATGACTCATTAAATTAACTGCTTATTTCTAATCATGTGCATTCTTGGCTTTACCTGCTCGTGTCTGAAAACACTCGACTTTTTATCATGGATGACACATTATCATTACAGGATGGATACTTTCAGTCACTACCTATCCATATATTTGTCTATTTGTTTCCCATGAACGCATATGCGTACTTGGTCTCTTTTGTGTTGATTCAGATATGGACAGTCAGTATTCACGATGCGTAAGTCTTGCCATGATTCAACTAGCCAAAACTAAGATTTCATGTTGTATCTATGATACATACTGATCCCCTTTATATAGAATGTATATCGTGAAACATCCTTGGATCAACTCTGCCGCACATCATACAATTCACCATCTTGAGTTCAACTATAACTATGGACAATATTTTACGCTATGGTAATTGATGAACCTATAGCTTGGAAAAATAGTAGATTTACTGTTTTCTTGAAATGTGCGTGAATCTAAACGTTTTATGATTGCATAGGGATCGTATTGGAGGATCGCATCGATATCCGACATATGAATATGAAAACAATATGTACTTTGATCGAGTGTGGAAGCACAGAGCTACAAAGACAGATGGCGGAGCACATATTTCTAAAGCCAAGGATGATTAGACTGCAAGCTTGCTTTTTAAAAGCGGTTGTGATGCTGGGCAGAATTTCTGCCCTTTATATTGGAATGAAGAATTGATTTTATTGATATTTCCATGACAGCTGCATCCGCTTGAAATAGAAAACTTGCATTTATCTTGTTTTGGAGTAATTGACGGTTAATATCGATTGTTTCCAAACTATACATTTTGACAGTCATACATTGTACAATTCGACTATTCTGATGGTTCCATGCCGATCACTAGGAAAAGAATCCGTCAGATTTGTCAAGAAGCTCATGTCACAATACTGTCCAGTAAATTCGACCGTTTACTACGTATTTTGGCAATCGTATTGAATACTTCTTTTTCATGAATATGGCGATGGTCTGGTTCCAAACACCACCGTTTGCAGTTTTCCAATTTCATGGCAAATCGTTCAGTATTGAATCTAACAGGCTGATGAGAACATATTACTTGCCATTAAGAATGATCAAACGACATTCGCATCAAAGTGTAGCATCAGTGATCCATCAGTCCATAGTTTCTGTTTACACTTGCTCTACTGCTTCCCATTCTAGACACTTTTACATGGCATCGCTTCCATTTACCAACTCGACTTTTTTCAAATGCAGTCTAAATTCACATATGAGTATGAGCCTTTCAACAGCTACTCACTTTTCTTCCAAACTTAATCCAGCTATAGATACTAGAAACCTACCGATTCAATATACGCTTCATGTCGAAACAATCCGCACCCTGTGCGACCTCTTTCAAAACAAAAGACGAGATCTTAAATCAACCGATATTACTCGAGTCTGGGACTTGTGTCGCATCTTAATCAAAAATGATACTAGCAGCATAAAAAACTTGCTAGAGGTTGAACAGCTGATGCATCGATTGGTTGCTTTTCTGGCCCTGTCGCCAGAAAATCACAATGCTGTTGAACAGACTGAAAAGTTATTGATATGGTGGAGACCTGGTAATAAATGGTCAGATTTGACCTCGCAAGATATTCTATGGATTGTTCGTGCTTACAAAGTCAAAACTGTACAACAAGGCTTAGATATTATATCATCTATATGCAGAAAGTGTAATCTAAAGCGATTGGACTCGACTGTCGTGTACATACTTATTGTATCCATAGCTATACGTCATAGTTCCAAAGAGGCAATCGAGTTTATCAAAGCATTCGTCGCTCAGCAACAACGATCAATACAACCCTCTATACATTTAAACTATCTCCTGCAAACGTGTTGTCAAGAAATATCATTTATGCAACAGCATTCAGGCATACTGGATATTTCAGTAAAGGAAGCCAATGCGCAAGTAAAATCCATCTCTGAATTTATGCTAGATCTGGTTGCCTACATGTCTACTGCTTCACCTAATCTGGCTTTGGCTGATGTCGTCTCTTTCAATTATATAGCTTTTTCTCAAAAGTGCACAACCTATACAGACGTCGTACGTGTGCTAGACACAATGCAATCCTATGGTGTTTATCCCAATATCAAAACGTTTACAACACTGGTTCACAATCTCGACGCAGACTCTGCTATAAAACTATTTGAAAAGGCTAATGAGATGGGTTTGCAAACCGATGCATCCATTTTAGTGTCATATATTCGTGCTTGCAAGTTACGCCCAGATCAAAGCAGTGGAAAGCGTGATGCCTTGAAAGCGTTTTTGGCACACCCGTATCGTCTTGAATTGACTTCCCCAACCTATGCTGACTCTGGAATATTATTTATTCTTTCTGCGATATATTCTTACGAGTACAAGTTGGATGTGACCCTACAAGTGATTAATGATATGATTCAAAGTGGTTGGCGGATTCCACCTGAGCGATTCAAGCATATTATTTCTCGGTTATGCTACTCGCATCTAGTGAAAGATGCTGTAGAATTACTTGATCGAGCCATGCTAATGTCAAAAGCTTATGCATCTGTGGATACAAGAACAACTATTGTTGCTGGATGGTGTGCTACAGGCTATCCTGACTCTGCATTAAAGTTTATTGACACGATGCTGGAAAAAGGACTTGCACCCACCATGCAAATGTACAGATGGATTATAGATTCGCTCATTACGATGCGAAAACTAGGTGATGCCGATCGTGTTGCGATAATGTGTCGAGACAAAGTAAATGTGGTTACCATTGATGCGTTCCATGCCGTCACTCGCGCTTATTTGATCTTTGGTCATGCAGATGAAGCCGAACGGCGCATTAAACATATAAACACATATGGGTTTATTGCGGATGATACAACGCATGCTATATGGGTGGCGACGCTCTTGAAACTTGGTAAGCGAGACGAGGCAGAATCTAAACTCAAAAGTCTTGGAGCATACTATGGGGGAGTTAAGCATGTCCCAGTCGCTGTATACACTGCATTTATGGATGTGGCCATTCTAGAGCACGATTGGATCAATGTAATCAAGTACTGGCGAAAGATCATTGGATGTGCTCGTGGCGGTGTTTCTGGGGTGGAGGATGCGATTGTTGCCAAATATATTACTGGAGCAATCCAACTGGATCGATTTGATGCGATCCAAAGTGTAATCAAACAAGTGCAGTGGGAAACGCACCCAAAAACGTATCGAGCATATGTGTATGTATGCTTCAAGTCGGGTAATGTGATGAAGGGTCAAAGAGTAGTCGAGGATGTGCTTGCCATTGCTCATTCACAAAGAACCCAGTTTGTGAAGGCTCAAAATACGGATCGTGCGTTGGCTTATAGGGATCTTCCTCATGCCAAATATTTAGCAGAGATACTTTGTGATGTTGTTGGGTATTATGCTAGCGATTTGGGCAATCTTTCTCATGCCAAACAAACCCTCAGAGTATATTTGGAAATGTTCAAACCTACTTCGCGGCCGTTTGTATCATTAATGCGAGCAGCTGTGCATCATGCAAAATTTAGTGATCCAAGTGGTGGGTTAGATGAGGCAATGCAGTATTGGAAGTGGATGGTTCAAGCCGGCGGAAGAGTCAATCAGAGTGGATACGGTGGGTGGATCAGCGCATGTGTTGATGCGGGGGATGTGTGTCGTGCGATTCAAGGCATCCAACTGCTAGTACAGGCCAAATTTAAACCCACGGTAGCCATTCAACAAACTGTCTTGACAATGCTGGGTCGATGTGGACGCATATCTGAAATGGAACGGCTGTTTAGGCGCTTGTTGGCAAACGATGATAGCAAGGCATTTGTTTCAGTTCCTGCTACGAGTGCTACAGTGAATGCACTAATGACTGGCTACTTGCATTCCAAAAACTATGCGAAACTGTTTTTGGTTTGGAATCGGCTATGGAAACGTAGTGGCGGGGGTAGTGATGCACAGGTACCAGTTTTTACGAGTAACGATCCAAGTATTGAAACGTGCATTCATGTAGCAAATGCAAAAGATATTTTGGATGTGGATATGTTGGTGCCTGATCTAGCAGATCTAGTTGAACACGACCAATTTGCAAGTGATGTAAATACACAAGCTGACGAATCTATCCAAGACCTCTACGACGAGACACATGAGCACAATGAAACAGACTCTTTGCTTGATACAAGCATGACCCCTTTATCGTTGCCTTGGACAACCACGATGAACACTGACCATGGAGTGACACCAGTGACGTTTTGTCTTGTGCTAGACGCGCTGGGATTTGCAGGTGATCTCGAGGTGCTGGATAAAGTGTGGCAACAGGTTGTAGATGTAGACAAGTTTCCGATTTCACCCAATTGCACAACATCATACATGGAAGCACTAATGCGGTGTGGGCAAACTGATCGGGCGATGGAGGTGGTAATAGGAGCATGTAAGACAGGTAAAGTGGCCGTGAAGACTGTTGTGAATTTCCTGGGCATGTGCGATGATGGTGAACAGGGAAAGCATAGAAAAGAACAAGTGATGAAATGTGTCAAGAAGGAATGCACGCTGGAGTTTACTGAGATATTGCAACAGAGATTGGATGGAGGAAAGAGTCAAACCAAGACACGGAAAATCCCTTCAGACCAAAATATTGATCAAGTTTTGCAGTTGTTCAAGCTCACTGCGGACTAAAGTGATCGTTTGAGAGCGAACACGATGACAATTTCAACTGCTAATTAGTTGCACACATTCCGACCAGCGGAAGATTAATTGAAATATTAAACTGCTATTGTGAACTGAGTTGTAACTATTATTGCTGGTTGTAGAAATGGAACCTTCTGTCAATGGTATTGTAGATTTATGGTAGATGTTGACTGGTTAGATATGGCTGCGAGATTGCTAACACATTAGGCTGTCTGCATCACCCTGATATACCAGACATGATGGCAATGCAAAGACAACTGGCAGAACAACAGAAGCAGCAGCTTCTGATGCAGCTAGAGCTAGAGCAGCAGCAACAGATTCAGCTGCAGCAGCATGCCGTGGCTGCAGCAGCAGAGGCATTTGCGATTGCTTCCAACTCTCCGCACAATCCATTCATGGGCCAGACGCCTGCAGCTGCTAATGCTACGACGATTGCCAGCAACAATGATGCTACTAGTTTACACCATCATCTACAGCAGAAAAAACTTTTAGAGAAGCAGCAACTTTTAGAGCAACAGCAGCTTTTAGAACAGCAGCAGATGCCTCTGTTGCCAATGTCCACTATTGAGTTGGATCATTCTATTTCACAGCAACAGCAGCTTCATCTGCACCAACAACTGGAGCTGGAGCAAAGACAGCAACCTCCTACTACAATCGATGCCACTCCTGCAAATATGCTGGCTATTTCCACCACTGGCTCTACCACAGATTTGCTGCAGTCTGTATTTGATGCTGCCAGTCTGGCTCATCAGCAGCAACAGCTTGAATTAGAAAATCAGCAATTACAGCTGTTGCAACAATTACAAGATGCTCCAGCGATTACTGACCAACATCAAATCCCATCGGTAGTAATGGTAGGCACAACCACTGACATATCGATGGTTGGAATACCACAGAGAGCTGCTTCCGATTTACTTTTGGTTGGCAATACAACAACCGACACCACATCCAACACTGGGGCTCATATTAATACAGCAACTCTGACTCCTGCTGCACTTGGAACTGGATCTGTGGTTGGCATATCCACTCCAGCTATATCCAACTCTATTTCAGTGGCAGAAGTAGGTCCTGTAGCTAGCACTACTAGCAACTACTCCAGCTCACCTTCAATCTGTGGTGATGTGCCCACAAACTCATCGTTGCCGCTATTATCTTCAGCAGTGATAGCAGAAGCAACAGCAGAAATAGTTCAAACTCAAAGCGGTCGCATTCACGAACTAGAAACTCAGGTATTATTATTGCTGATTTATACAGTATGCTTCATTGACTGTTGTAGTTGGCTTTATGCAACATGGCAAACAGTCACGTGATGAGAAACGTGTCAATTATGCAGCAATTTAAGCTGCTGGATGAATTAATCATCTTGCATTCAAATTTGGATCAGGTTGCTAAAACTCATTTTGTATGATCTTATAGCTGCTTGAAATCACCCAAAAGCTAGATAGTGTCAGTTCCACTATGGAGGCTCAGCAGAAACTGTTGCACGACACGCTTGGTCGGTGCATGTTCATGAAGGATGACTTTGATGGGAAGGAACAGCAATGGGACAATACAATACGGATAGCAAATACTAAGATTAATGAAAAGGATGAAGAGATTCAGCGTATCACTGCACAGTTACACGACACGGTCAAGCAGTTGGATCGAGTGAATGCGTTTGTTGCAAATAACGTCATTGCTCAGGCTGCTGCGTCCAAATCCGCTGCATCTATTGCTTGTACTACCGTTGCTTCAGCTTGCGATGTAGAAATGGCAAAAACTGGTTCTTTTGCTAAAAACATGGCTGCTACTCCGACATCTACAGGCAACACTCATACACCTACATGTGCTTCTGCATCCCTCCCACCGTCTACTATCGCTTTTGATTCTACTCAACCATCCATGTCCTCATCAATTCCTGAATTTTCTCAAACATCTACATCCACTATGTTTACAACTCTGCCCATAGTATCTGCTTCATTTTTACCCGTGTCCATTGCAGCTGGGACAATAATCTCTCCCTCAAAGGTGAATGATCCAATGGTTACATCTATGCATTGTATTCAACCTCTTGTTTCTCTTACTGGATTTCCAGAAATGGTATCTTCATCGGGATCCACTACACACTTGAATGCCGTGTCCCATATTCCTGCATTACTATTAAAGCAGGAATCTGTGCAGCAGCTACATCAATCACCAGATATCAAAAACCAGATGATGAGCGTTGATATCAACTCATCTACATCACTACTTAATACGCTTGCTTCATGCACTTCCGAGTCTATGGCTGCAACTCCAGCCCAAACGTCCAACAATCCACAGCAGCAACGATCTGTTTTGAATGTAGTAACTGCCGCGTCCAATATTATGAGTATGGGTCCAGGCGCTATGCAACACTCGCTTGCAAACTCTGTACCGCATACACTACCTGCAGCACCATCCATGACGCACTCTGCATCTACTGGAGCATTGCTACAGAAACAAAGACAAATTCAACAGCACAAAATTCTTCAGCAGCAGGCATTGGCTCAATCAACTTCATTTTCACACTCATCACCAGGATCTGCTCCTGCAATGCTGCTGCCACATTCTCAGTCCGGCGTGTTGCCTTTTAAATGCACTAGCAATGCATTACTTCATTCGTTTGATGCTATGCACCAAACTTCTCAGACCCAATCGCAAACCGATGTTGCTACAACATCTGCATTGGCAGATTTGTTTGAACAGCGTCTTCCAATCACATTCTCCATGGCTATGGATACTTATCCACTACCAACCGCCCATAACTCTGCTCTACCCACTGGAAATGACTCTGCCCACATAAGTCTGAGCACAACAGCCACCGTGGCTCCTGTATCGGTTACTGAAATGTCTGAGATGCATTTTGCCAGTCACCCATCTTATTCCCAGAGTGGTCCTGCTACAACATGTATGACGTATACCCCACACATTCATCAGATTTTTGCACCCGCTCCAATTCTTACTGCAGCACCTGCCTTGTTTCGATCTGATGATATGGTTGTGACTTCCTGTGCTGCAATTGCAAACGAATCTACTTCTGCCATTGTTCGAATAACCGAATCTGGCTTGCCTATGTATTGTGCAGGTGTTTCTCCAATGTTGACTACTGTTGGCTCAATGGATGGATCACTGAATATGCAAATGGCTAGTGTTCAGTATCTACCTCTACACTTTCAACATCCACATATTCAGCAAGCTCAGAAACAACATGAACATCGAATTTTAGCTGATAATACTTTAAATAACGCTTCTACTATGATGATAGGGATTCAAAACAATTCTACTCAGGATATAAACTTGCATCTTGCCAACTCGATGAATGGCTTTTATCAAGATTTTCCTATAAAGCAGCATACAGAGCTATCTCACCAAACACACGATGTTGCAAATAATCATTCATCCTTGAATACTTTGAATCTGTCCGCGTTACCCACATCCATGGCCACATTCACTACGATTCCACCTTTAGTATCTTATCCAGTTGCATCGGATTTGGCTGCAAAACCCATGGCATATCCTTGCACTATACCAGCGAGGATGTCTTCTCATTCTATGGCTATATTGTCCTCAACTGAATCTGTTGCAAATAAGCCCATGTCTCATTTTCACGCTGACCCGCTATTTGGACACATTCAGAAACAAGCATCTTTAGAAGGACATGCGGCGAATAATCAGGCGCATAACCGAACTCATAGCAACTCTGTTTTTGTTGTAGATGGGTTTCAGCAGCATACTCAACACTCTAAAAACACGTCGGGTTTACAGACTTATTCGGCTCCTCCGTCACCCACCCAACAATGGCGATTGGCATCTCAGTTGTACAACCAACAGCAGCAAGACCAACCGCCTCATTTAACACCACTGACTACTTCTTTGCACTATAAGCATTTGCGATTGGATATTCCTTTTGGGGATCGTGGTTTGTCGCCTGTATCCTCTGGGCATACTTCGTTATCATCTCCGCTATCGGTTGGACATAATAATGGACAGTTACCACAGCGAATCCCATTTGAGCTTGCAAGCAACAGTATTCAAAACTGCGGAAGTGGATCTGCAAATAGGGAAATAACTGCACCTGCATCACCTCCTCAGTCATCATTAATTTCTAGCTGTCAGACTCAACAGCTACAGCGTCTTGCTCGACCACTTTCCGCGCAACAGCCATCGCAGCCATTCACACTTGTTGACAAACCACCCATAGCTACAGGGGCTGCATGCACTTTGCCGATACCCACACCCGCCAGATCAGCCGTTTCTAGCCAGTCTGGTATATTTTTTAGAACAAACAGTCCAGGTTTGAATTTGGCCAAATGGACAAAGAATGAGATGAAACTTCTTGATGGACTGGTTAAAAAAATTACAACGAGTACAGGTATCACGACCCACACATTTATTGGGAGTGACAGCATAGTGGGAGGAACGAATTCATTGAATCATGAAGAGAGCAAACTAGGCATTGTTACAACTGACGGATTAAACCCATTGACTGATGCTCAGTGGGAGCATATTGCAAGCTGTATTCCAAATCGCACGTCCGATGAGTGTTGTCAACAATGGAATACCTATTTTGCACACACTCGAAGGGGAAAATGGTCAAAGGAGGAAGACATGCGACTGGTTCAGGCGTATAACGATGCTGTTGAAGGAGTGCATGAAGTTGAAAATACATGCGGATTAGGAACTGGAGGCGATGCTGGAGGTGTGACTCGAGCGTCGTCGTTTTGGAACCGCATTGCTCTTTGTATTAATGGACGAAGTGGTCAGCAGTGCATGGCAAGATACAACGAGGCTTTGGACCCTAACGTTATGTAAGTACCATGGAATTAATACTGTTGGCAGTGCTTTTAATTTGATTATTTGCTAATTACTGAGGCATTGATGAATTACAGAAAAGGAAAATGGTCTGCCGATGAAGATGCCTTATTGCGACAAGGTGTGATTGAGCATGGCAAGGTATGGGTACGAATTGCCGAATCTATTCCTGGCCGTACACAGAGACAATGTCGTACGCGATGGCTGATGTTTCGCAAGACCGAGATGATGCGACGAGTCGCTCCTATAGCCAAATCAGCCTCGATTTTGACTGACACTCTGGTGTCCGGTACTCATTTTCAACCCGTCTCTGGCACTTATACAGCTTCTGGCGAAACCCAGGCTTCTCGTGTAAGCGGATACGAAATCCAGCCATCAGGCGTATCTGCTTTGAATTTATCGACAGGCGAAAGCATATCAGAGCTACCTTTTTTTCCCGAAACCCCGTCTCAATCTAATAGGAGTGCTTACAAACAGTTTGGACTCGAGAATGTTGAAAATATGCATGCTGACGAAGCTGCTTGTGACTCCTCTGTCACTTCGGGAGATATGGATGATGACGACGATGATATGGAGTATGATGATGACGATATGGACTTGAGTCGATCTTATTGAAACTGTGTTGTACATGGCTATGGTCTGCAAAAATTGTGTATGGAGGGGAGGATTAGAAGTGTTATTTTAACTATGTATTATTAATCTCTATCATTCTGTTGGAAGCGAAAATGAAGCCTGTATATTTATATTCCCACTGGCTTTATTTTTGAACAATCTTTGTCATGATTGAAAAATATCTTTTGATGCAAGACGGCATTCCAATTAAGAAATTTGACTTGTATTAACATTTCTCAAATGTTTGCAATTACTTTGCTCCCATACTGAACGCATGCTTGTTGGTGCTGTGCACTTGGCGCTCAATCTCGTTGCAGTATTTTTCAGGTACACCAATAGCTCGAAGCTCCTGAATTTTCCTGGCTTTGATTTGGTTGATCTTGTTTTTTCTTTCGGTGCGCTCGTGTGCCAATTGGATACCTTCCAAAAAGAAATCTTCGCGAGTCTTGCGTCTATTCTGTTCTTTTTCTTGAATCTGAGCCTACAGTGTACACCAAGTTAGTACATGTAAACAGTGAGGTTGAATATTCATTGTATACTCTTTACAAAATTGGCGACAGTCTTACTTTGACATCCATGGCATACATCCTATTTTTTACAGCCTTTATTTCGTCTTCTTTGGCCAACTTTGCCTCGATCTCCTTCTGTCTTTGCAGCCCCTCATAAAACTCTTGTTTCATTTTTTGTGCCTCTACCTGGATTGCATGCTCACGAGAACGTTGCTGGTTATATCTTTCACGACGTAGATCGTGTTCTTGCTGAGCATGTTTTGTAGCTGTTTCTTGTTCCTTACGACGCCATTCACGCTCATAGGACTCAAATGCTCGTTGCGCTCTTAATGCATCCTGTTGAGCTTGCTTGTCAGATATCTAGACAAAGGGTGATTAAATTTACGCTTAGCATATTAATTATCGAGCTTGATGACAATCAAAAATACGGTTCTACCTTTTCTTGAGCAGCACGCAATCTTGCAAGCTCTATTTCTCGCTCTGCCTTTTTTTGTGCCTGAATCCGATCGTTTTCTGTATCTCGGGCTTCTTTTTCGACTATATATTGAAGTACTTTACGATCTTCTTCCTCTTCTTGAAGCTTTTCTTTTCGTTTGTACTCCATAGACTCTTGGTTGGTTTTGACTACCTAAACTCGGCCATTCAAGATGATAATTAATTTAAAATGAACCCACAATCACATTTGTTTAAAATAAAAACCTACATCCATCATCAAGATTCGTTGATTTTTAATTTTACTCAATTTTTCTTGCTTTTCCTGTTCAGCAGTCTCCGCAATGGCTTTCAAAATCAGTTTAGTTTCTTGATCGCGCCGCTCTTGCTCTAAAAGAGCAGCTTCACGACGTTCTTCAATCTGCTCACGAATTTTTGCTGCTCCTTTACGCAATTCTTCAACACGACGGGTTTCTCTTTCTTCAAGTTTTTTCAACTCGGTTGTACGCTCTAGCTCCATCATTGCATCCAAACGCGCATCTTCTATTTTACGTTCATTCTGAATCCATTTCTGTATACCCAAAGTAAATCAACCAAAGTGTATACGCTGAAACAATTCAACAAGCCAAAAGTACCTTTTCTTCTACTTGAGTATCACGGATTGACACGCATTTTGCATAAAGCATGAGTTCATTCATGTGTTTGATATCATCCTCTTGCTCTTCGATTTGCATTTGGGCTTTAGCTAAAAGATAATTGGAACGATCCTTGGCTTCGCGGTCAAGATCGCTAAGTTTAGCATTTGACGTGCGTTGGTGGTCATAATGCTCCATTTTTTGCTATACATTAAACAAAGTGAGCTGGCTGAACCCAATACCAAAGGAAATGATGCAATGTGATAAAAATAAGGCAATGCTACCTTGCGCAGTCGTGCCACTTCGGCTGCAGTTGCACGATATTCTTTGACATCTTTACTGTGTTGGTCCATATCTGCTTTGTCAAGATACTTTGCAGCTCCCTGTTTAAAAAGGCATTTTTATATCAGAATGTGTCATTATATTGAATTGTCTATACCAAGATGCACATCAAAGTATGGATCATGATAATGGTATATACCTGAATACGCTCAAGCTCTGTAGCAGTTAGTATAACTGCACGTCGATTTTCTTGATTCAACACTAATCCATTATCAGAATGAGGAAGTAGTTTTCTGATATTGTCTCGTGTAATCACTGTAATTGGTTTCTAATTTGACATGCAATCATATTTGTAATAAATAACGAGTTTAATGTGTTAAGATATATCCTAAAAAATCAGTTATTGGTGAAGAGTTTCTAGCAAGACTCGAAATACAGTGAGTTGAGTAGTTTTGGGCTAGATGATGAAAACAAACCAACCTGGCTCTTGGGCTTTTTTGAAGTAAGTTGACTTGCACGCTACTCACAATGCATGATTAGATATATCAATATATAATACGTTATCAAGATGAAACAGTCCAAATCCGTATCAGTCCATATTGTAAATTAGTGGTCGCGGATTATTGAAATATTTGTCACGTATCAATACCAGATGCAGCATCAATAAAATATATATCACCAAATATAGTTGAAAAAGTATTAGTAATATTCAATAAAAGGTGCTTTGAAGTATCATGGATTAACAGACAGAGGTATGGTGAAAGTCTTGATTCAAATGCAAGGGTATTGTAGCATACCAAGGTGGCCATTTTGAAATTATACTGTTTTTTGATTGTCGAGTTGAGTTTGAAATTTAATTTAAAGCTTATTTCTCATTTTGAATCAGTCATTCTTACTGAAATCAATCACTTGCGCTGATGGTAGAAATAGAGTATTGCCTAAACCAATAATGAATTAAAAAAACAATAGTTGTCTACTTTGTTAAAAAAATATGATTCCATCCAGGATTGAACTGGAGACCTTGTCCGTGTTAAGGACATGTGATAACCAACTACACCATAGAACCATGCAATCAAAATCTGAATAATTGTATTTATTATTTAACATACATTTAAACTGACCAGTTGTGTATGGATCAAACATGTAGAATAGAGTGTTAGTTGTAAAGCATGTATAGTTCAAAAACAGTCATGGTTTGCCAATCAGCTCATGAGCCAGCCATTGGGATTCAATCAAGCAAAATTTATCATTGAGCAACTTTCCTTTTCAACAAAATATTTGCCAAGACTCGATACTGTATATGGTCGTTCGTATTCGATTGGCTCGATGGGGAGCAGCCAATAACCCCTTTTACGGTATAGTTGTTGCCAACCTTCGAGCAGCAAGAGATGGAAAGCATTTGGAGCGACTTGGAACATACAACCCAATATCCGATCACAATATGACCAAACATCTCGAGCTGAATGTTGATCGAATCAAGTACTGGTTGAGTGTGGGTGCGCAACCTTCTGAACGAGTGGCTTGGCTGTTAAGCAAGGTAATTTTGTTTGGCTCAATGGGTAGTGAATTGCTAGTGCAGTGTATCGTTGTGACGATTATGCAATATTTGGCTCATCTGGCATTATTTTTATAAACTCGATCCAACTCATCTTCCATTGCACTGATTTCAACCTGCCATCTCATCTAATACATAGGTCGATATAATGCCTCCAACACCCAAACAGCTTCAAAACCAAGGTGTGCTTTCATATGCTGATCACAAAACCTGGGACGTGGTTGTCAAGGATCAAAACAATAAAGACATTGGAGTCGTTTCAATTGAAGAAGCCATTCTCAAATTCAAAGGATCGCCCCTAGAAAAGTTTTTACCGTCGGATCCAGCGGTTTTTCAGCATAATGTCAAGGCTGAGAATATTAAGATGGGTGGGAGCAGTCCGGCCAAGGAACCTTTGACTGGTGCAGAGGCTCTGATAGTTCTTAAAAAGTTTATCGGGATTGTTTGACAGATTTTATGGTGCATTTGAGATTTAATAAAGAACTGTGAGATTGGCATATACAATTTCTGTTTCATAACCCAAAGTTATAGTCAAAGGCAAAGCGGGTAGAAATGGAATGGAGAGATGCCATTTATATTTTAACGCAGTTTTGCCATGTTTTGAAACCATTTTGACGGATCAATCAGGATGCTGCAGTCTTTTAAAACATGAACTATCTGTAAATCGCATGATGGTTTTGGATTAGCGTGAACTCTAGATAGGACACCAATGTTCGTGTCCAAGCAAAACCAAGTGGTGACATCTTGTTGAATCGAGAGAATCAGCAAACTGGTCGTGTCAACAAGTCAGATTGTTGCTGTGGTACAGGAAATATAAACGATAGATCATCTTGCCATTCAATCAGCAGACAATACCGATATTTTCGAAAAAACATCAAGAGTGATGGTTGCCGACAATCTTTCATTCATCTCTTCATTCTCATGCTCTGTCATCAGTCGTAAAGTATATATTTGCAAACTGCATAACCATGTGTTTTTATTCAAGATGCTCGAGTTTTTGCACCAATTCCAGTCTTGAATCGATCCCAATGTCAAGCGAGTTTGTTTAACCTGTAAGTTGGCTATGATTGAACGATTACAATTAAAAAGGCATGATCGGTTTTGCGCTCGCCTTTGTCTTTCGTTTCTCCTGGTTACATGATCACGAAATAGTTGATTATGCGTTAGTAAGCGAATGCATGAGTGGAAACAGTCTGAATAGATGCTGCCAATATAAATAAACAAACCTCTTTCCAGTCAGCAATGCGTTTAGGCATTTTGGCCATGTTTTCTTCAATCTTCTTTTGGCTGTTTTTTGCAGTAGCAGATTGGGATTAAGCGAGCAATGACAGCATAATAAAATATATACATGGCTTGTTAGTCCCAAACCATAGTTTTTAGAATAGACAAGCAATCGTATAATATACTCGATCATTCAAAATACATCAATTCGACAATGACCATACCGAATAACTTGAACCAGTGTTTTGTCGCTTTTTGCATACAATGAATATGCACTTTGCAATGCAAGTTCCTCGGCAGGTAGACCAACAACTTTGACAGGATCGATTCCAGCCAATTTACAAGTCAGTCGAATCTGCTGCTGCTCTTCTAGTGAAATGCGAGGTGGAAGCAGTTTGCCCAGTCGGCCTGTGCGAGAAAAGAAATCCTCTTTAGGAGGAGGAAATGCAATCTGCTTAAGAATCCAGTTGTTGGGCATTTTCTTTGGTATACGAATTAATAGAGAAGATCCTGCTATCAGTTTGTCTGCGCCTGCCGTCATGTTAATGCAATTTGAATGTAAACTTTGATATTGGTTTGAGTGAATTCAAAATCTGACGAGATTCCAATAATTACAGCAACAGATTTGTTTGCAACGACTTTAGATTTGTCATTAATTGCAGCAGTTTACTGTCGTTGCTTACATATTCATGTATTTCTCTTGAATCCAACTTAAAGCCAAACATATTGACACACAGGACGAATACTCACTTTTGGATCAACTCGACAAAACTTATTGTTAGCACTTGACCAGCAAACTAAATTGTGAGTTGGTGCAAGAGCCAGCGATGGATGCATCTATCAGAAACCTGGCTAAAACTGCCTGGGATCGTGCATGGAAAAGAGAGTACTATAGTTACTGCTATTCATACTGCTTTCTTTTAAATACAAGCAATGTCTTTTTTATCCAGCAAGCAGCACTGGATACTTTCCGACCTCCACTTCACGTTCGATGCTACTATTCGTCTGGAAAACCAACAGCACCGAGCCATAGATTGCAGGATTTAAATTTATCTCATTTGGATATAGCAGATATTAAGCCATCTGATGACTCCTGTAATGAACAGCAGAAAAATCCAACATCTCCTGCAACCAGTCATGACAGTAATGTTGATACGATAGAAAAAAATGACGCACTCACTCAGCTACTGTGTATACTTGATAATATTCCTATCAACCACACACCTTGTTTAATAGAGCCTAAACAGACAAGTCGGATATGGTTGCTGGTTGATATAGTGTGTCAAAGTCCAAAAACTTCTTCCAATCTTGCAGAAAATCACATTGCAAAACTACTGTTTCTCACAATTCATGGGCAGGGCTATGATTCTTCTCGATACCTATCAATTAAACATCTGATTCACATACTTCAGCATGCAAAGCGATCCGATCTACTTTCCCCTGTTTACCTTGAATTTTTAACAAGATATACTGATCGTGTTCAATACCAAGTCCTGAGCGATATTTTATCAGATCTAAAGCTGCATCGGTCGCATCTTATTGCCAAGATATTCCATGTTGTTTTGGAAATTTTGGTAAAACAGGGAGATGTCTTGAATGTTCATCGGTGGATTACCGATTTCTCAGTTTCGTCTACTTTATCAAAACAATCACACACAGATACTTTTTTCTACACATCTCAGCATTCAGACTTCAACTCCATAAACTTTCCATCTTTTAAAACGTCAGCTCATGTGCAGAATATGGCTGATCCACTCGACCGTAAACATTCAACACACTCAAAATCTTTGAATCCTCCATTGTTAAACTCGATGAAATATCGTTGGAAAATATGGCGAGCACTCAAGAATAGCAACAATGCTCAACGCCTGAGTGAATTCTTTGAAAGAGCTGATCCTTCTACCATTTCTATTGTTGAATATAACTCTGTTCTTGGCTCATACCTCAGGACCGGAAATCTTGATGGGTTTCAACGTGTTTGGTCATACATTACTCAAATAGACGGGCCAGTCAAACCAGATCTCACATCATTCAACCTCCTCATTCGATACCTATTACAGACCAAGGGATTTTCAGCAGGTCTTGATTGTTTTCGGCACATTAATGATGCTGGACTTTCTCCCACGATCTTGGAATACAATATCTTGATTGATTTCCTCTTCAAATCTGACGAGTCCACCAAAGCCATGGCGTTATTTGACTCGCTACGTCAGTCATCCATTATACCCCAAGCATCTACCTACACTATTATGATCAACCATTGTGCTGAAAAACGACTTATTTTAAACACGTTCAAGTATTACTATGCTTTGCAAGAATCTGGAGTGGTGTATTCTGCTCATTTATGGACAGCTATGGTACGTGCGTTTGTCAAACTAGATGACATGGCTACAGCTATTCAATGTTATCGGGACATGCTTGCCGATCCAAACGTAGACCCCAACGGATACACATTTGTACATCTGATTGAAGGATACTTTTCCCACAATGAGTACATGAAGGCATTTGAACTTGTTGGCGAAGCTGCTAAATGGGGTTTAGAAGACAATCCAGCAATCATGTCACTTTTAACAAGAATCCGCTCGAAAACTCAATTCGACTCGAATCAAGTTCTTCAAGACTATTATCGCATTCTTCCTCGACTCAAAGCTGATTATGCTGAATCAAATCTTCCCCCACATCATCTGTCCAGGTTTTATTTCCATCTTATTCAGCATTTTTCTCATTACCACCTTGTTGACATTTGTGTATCGATTGCAGCAGATATGGCAGATTTGGGACTAGATGTGAGACAAGTCAGTGGGCATTTGATATCAGTATGTGCTCTCACTGGAGATATCAATACTGCCTCTGACAAACTTCAAGCTGCCAGAAGAAACGAATCTACACCCGTTTGTTTAGCAGTTTATAATAATTTGATCGTGGGTGCGCTTCATCATGATAAAGTAGAGTTTGCAGATATGATATTTGGAGAAATGATACACATGGGCTTAGAAATCCGCCCAATCGTTTTGAATTCATACCTCAAATATAACTTGCAATCGGATGATGGTATGTCACGTACTCTTGATCGAATGAGGAAGCTGGATGTCAAGTACAACTCTCGCACGTTTTGGTTGATGATGTTTTTTTACGGTTTCAACAAAGGGTTGATGGATAAAGCTTGGAATATGTGGACTAGGTATATCGAGTTTTTTGGACCGTTTATAAAAGCGTATGAACGAACTTCCGATCATGTGCCTGGTGGTTCAAAGATTCAAATGTTGCCAACACATTCGGAGACGCGAAAGGTGCTGGAAGTGAGGTTGGTTAGACTCGCTATAAAGATTTGCCATTCACATGGAAGAACTAGGCAGGCAGAACAAGTGCTACAGTTTTCAGAAGAATTTTTGACTCCATACGAGTTTGAAGGTATTTACGAGGTCTACGAAAGCACCAAGACGATGTCTGTTTGGAGCGCTGGAGCTGATGATATTGACAATCAAAATTTGCCAGACGAAGACATATAGCTAATAAGAGTTGTTTGTGCATTATTTTTATCTTTTCAACAACAGGGTTTCCTTTTGCCATATTTCAAAGCACTAGATTTAGAATATAAACCACCGCCGCATGAATTGCATTGTATCTTCAATTTATATTAGTAGTCTACTATGTAGCCCCAAATAAATCATTACACATTTAAGAAAAAGTCTTATTTTTTATAGAATCGCAAATTCATTACAGACAGGAGTTATTGGTGAAATTTTAGACCAGCCTACAGTGGAAGTGAGCCACTACTGGCAATCACCACTTTCTTGGTGGGTGTACTTCCATTTCTTTCTGTGTTTTCAATTCTGAAGACAACATCCATACCTTCAATCACTTTTCCAAAAACAACATGACGGCCATCTAGCCATTTTGTCGCGACTGTTGTGATAAAAAACTGTGCACCTATATCCCCACATTAAAGAGCATCAAACAAGTTTAGAGTCAAAACAGGTAAACATGACAGATCCGGTCAAAAAATAGCCAATCCTAATACAGATTTATAACGCCACGTACCATTAGTGTTTTTACCAGCATTGGCCATGCTGACATATCCAGGGCCAGCATGCTTCAGTTCAAAGTTTTCATCGTCAAACTTGCGATCTTTATATATAGAGTAACCACCCGTTCCATCACCGTTTTCAAAATCACCGCCTTGGATCATGAAATCTTTAATGACTCGATGAAAGTGAGAGCCTTGATATCCAAATCCCTTTTCGTTGGTAGCCAAGACTCGGAAATTTTCTGCAGTCTTTGGAACGATATTACCATAGAGGCCGATGATGATTCTGCCAAGCTTATTGATTTGTATAGATGCATCAAACATAGTAATTAGTCAACAAGCAATGTGCATTCATCATGACTCTATATCATAACAGCCAGCCAATACCTCTTTGTTGTCCTGGGTAATATCAAAGTAAATTTTACTAGTAAATGCATCCCTAGCAGTACCAGACTTGGTGTCTACAGAATCTGATTCAGGGAGTTTGACAGGCCCCTCTGCAATAACAGGCACTGGTGGTAAAGTAGAAGCAGTGTCCTTGGCATCGTCGATTTCAGGTTTTTTGTGATCTGGAGTCTTGTTTTTGCTGTTTACAGCATTGGTTGGAGGCTTCCTGATTCGATGGCTAGGAGTACTGGGACTGCTGATGGGTGGTTGCTTGCTTTCAGATCCAGAAACAGGATTGGCTAGAAATGTATTGACATTGGTCTTGATGGAAGGAACACTCTCAGCAACCCTTACAGAACCAAGAACCTGCTCCTCTGCATCAAACAGGGCGTCCCTGTCCAAACTATCCCTGACTTCACTCAGCTCTGGGCTTGAGGTACTGGTGAAGAAGTATAGGATGAATATTGTTACTGCTACTGCAAGTAGCAAGAGTCTTGTTCGCAGCTGCATTGTAGGTCGGTTGCTGTAGGGTGGAGTTATTGACTAGAACACAAAAAAAGAATTCAATCGTTTATGTTCTAGTTGGTATAGCGATGCAGGTCGGAGTCGATTATCAAGCTTCTCCATAACAAAGCCTTATGATTTGAAGTTCACGCTGTCGACTCAACACCAACCATTACACAAGACACCCCACTTGATAGTAATACACTAGCACATTTTTGAAATTGGTTGATCATGATTTATGATTAGATAAGGCCTTGGAATGTGTTTGGATTTAGATTAAAGTACTTGAAGATTAAGGCGCGAGAATATATAGATAAACTATACAGTCAAAATGCAATGTGCATGGAATGCAAAGTATATAGTCAAGATCTCATGTCAAGTACTCTCGCCAATATACTGTCGACCATCTCCCTCGTCCAAACCACGAAGACGCATTTTTCCAACGTTTACGAGATGGTCCGTGTAGCTTGGTCACAATATAATAGTAATTGTCATCTTCGCACGAGTCCACTAGTTGCGGAAGTCCACTGTCTTTACTTTGCAGCAATACGAGCTCAATCGGTGGTCGTGATGTTTTTACAGAATCACACTTGCTACATTGGCACGCACTGTTGTTCTCACATGCTTGAAAATATTGCTCCTCGACAGGGATCTTGTCCTTGCTGATTTTCTTGATCAACATCTGCTTTTTGTCATTGATTCGAACCACTCTCCATAGTGTCCAGTATGTCCCTTGAGTAATCAACTGTTGCACCGTGTATGTAGACCGTAGTCTGTCGTGTTCCAATACATCTGCGAGTTGAACAAGCTCTGTTGAATCTTGTTCGTTGGTAGTGTTTGCATTGCAGTGGTTCATAGAGGTCAAAGTAGATATTTCTCCTCTACGCAACACATCGGCAACTTGGGTAGCTGTCAATGGCTCGGGGAATGGTTTGTGTCGTGCTTTTTTTGTCGTGCTTTCTTGATCCGTACTATTGGGTGATGGCTTTGTGGATAAGGTTTGAATGGCTGATACTGACGGTGACTTGGATTTGCGTTTTCTTCGCAACGAGCCAGCTATGGATTCATCAGATCCCCATCTTAGACGTGCTGACTGGGATCCTGCTTATGAACATGATTATATATTTAAAGTGGGCGTAGTTGGTATTGGGCCGGGAGTTTCAAGCCATTGTTATCAGGTTTAATGTAATTTAATCAAATTTGTTATATACCCCATGTCAATATTAGTCCACACCGTCACGGTCGAATGAATTGTCATTCACACGACAAGCCATAAGAGATGTCAAAAAGAGCATATACAGTTGAATACATATTGTGTTAGCACACCATGTTTAATATGGTCGTATTTTAAAACGGATATTTGGATAGATATTCGCCCTGCATTCAAAGTTGAAATATTTCTGTAAAGAACAAGCAGCCATTTAATCATACATCTCGTGTATTATCCATTACCCTGGCCAAGAGTTGTATGTGGCTGATTCAAATTATACAAAAGTTGTGATGAACTGCTCATTTGCTCCAAAAAACCGTATCTATTTTGATTATGGCATGATTTTCATACCTATTTCATTGTATGACCCGCAGTTGCCCATGTTTGTAGAAAGTGCCTATATTGCTATCAAAACCGTGCTAATGTACGCGATGTGCTTCACCTGGGGGTGTGAAGACCATAATTGGAAATCCAAATTAAACAATCAGGCATAATAGCAATCTTGAACTACCATTGTCCTATAGCTCAGACTCACTCGGTTTCTATCACAGTATTTACACACTTGAAGCCAGATTCAGTAAAATCAAAACTATTCAGTTTATTTCAAACGAGTAGCTGATCAGACAATAAAAAAGCGTAAAAGGAATGATGGACTAAAAGTCTATTATTTGGAAATGATCTAATTTATCCACGTGGCTTCCGACTAAAATAATCAGCGTCCAAGTTTAAGGTTAGTTAAAGTACACACCATAGTAAAAGCAATCTAATCTTACCGAGTGGTATCATAAATACGGATAAGTTCGGCCTGACCCGACTCTCCTTGAGAAAAGGCATAACCACGAGTTCGTTTCTGTCTTTGAACAACACGCACTTTAGCCATGGCCTTTCTAAACCACTCCATACGTGGACGATGATCGGGAATATTGAATTTACTGATTTCTTGCACAATATGATAGGATCGTGGGAAAATTAAGCGTTTGGTGTACTTCCAGATAAAGTCGCGCAAGTTGGCCACAAAAGGAATGATCATGATGCCAACCCAAAATGCTACAGATGTAAACATGGGATAGTTGACACCTTGAAGTTCTGTTCCAACACCAACCATAGGGCCAATAATAGCATAAATGGGAAATAGAATAAACCACAAGGCGATGCTACCAAAAACACCAAAATAGGTGAAATTGACCCACGTATCAACTGTTAGTGCAGCCTTCATGGTAATTGTAATTAGATCGGCAGTATAAATCATTTCTCCCATGACCCAGTTGTTGGCCGTTCCTCCATTTGTCATCATAGCTCCTTCACCATAAACGGCAGTAAGTCCATAATACATGATCAAAGAGTGAAAGAACGAGTTGATGATCCATGCCCAAAATGAATACGTGTTGTAGAATTCATTGGTTTGGCCAAGTCGGTAAAGTTGTGGATAACGATCTAGCATTCTGGATGTCAAAAATTGATCAAATACACCAATTGCAAGCGGCTGAAAAAATGCAAACACAATGTTGTAGGATGATTGAGTCCAAGTTTCAAACAGAGTCTAGACAAGAGTTGCAAACAAGATTAGTATCAGCAACAGGTTTAATAAGGGCAATACTTGAAAAGCTAAAATTTTATATTACCTGGCCAGAAAATCCGTTATCAAGAGCAAACCACAGCTGAATCAAGTATAGTGTAATATTTTTGTAAAACGAATACAGAATAACTTTGCTCAAACGCGAGTAAGCCCAGCTACCATGAACAAGAAGTAGTTTTTTCAAGAAACGGAATTGAGCAATGGCAAAATCAGCACTACGAGCAGCCTGAAGACCTTCCTGTCCGCTAATACCAATACCTACATGAGCAGCTTGTATCATGGAGACATCGTTGGCTCCGTCACCAATGGCAAGCGTTACTGCACCTTCAACGTTCTTGCGCAAAAGCTTAACAACCAGAGCTTTTTGTAATGGAGATACACGGCAGCAAATAACAGCCTTGCACAGAGTAGCAAGTTCAAGAAACGTGTATTTAATATCGTCTTCAAGAGCATAGGCCAAGCTTTTACCATCAATAATCAACGCAATTTGTTCCAAATCACTGTCGGCTTGTTTTTTTAGCTTTCCCTGTTTTTCGGTCATAAGATGCCCAACGTACGGCACACCATTAAGATATCTCATTCCCCAAAACATAGAGTTGGACGAGCCAGCTGTATCCATACCACCTTTGACGGCAGCTAATTTTCTTGCCAAAAAATCCTTGGTATCAAAATGCGTTGGCTCATTGCACGTAATCAGCGACATTTCTTCAGTAATGAGCTTGCACGAGTATCCAATATTGATGGCTGTTTCTTGTCGATCGCCAGTCAAAACCCATATTTTAATTCCAGCCGTTGCAAGCGTGTGGATTGTGTCAGGAACTTCATCTTGCAATCGATCTTCAATAGCTGTTGCACCAAGCAATAGCAAATCCTTTTCAATAATTTCAGCAGCCTTTTCCAATTCCAACGCGCGGTTGCTAATTGTTGTTGCGGCCTTTTCGTATATCTTTGCCCATTCGGTGTATTCTTCTTCGGGAATGTCACGATAAGCAATACAAAGTGTACGTAGCCCATCATTAGCGTATTCTTCAAGATGGGCACATGTGGCATCAACAAATGTGTTTCCTTGTTTAGCCAACCGGTCAAAAATCACTGTATCGGCTCCTTTGATGTAAAGTTTAATTTTCCCTTCAGGACTTCGGACTAGCGCACTCATACGTTTACGGGTGGAATTGAATTCATTGATTTGAAGAATTTCCCATTCGTAATCCTGTCCGTTATGTTTGTATGAAACAGATCGTGGCCGGCGAGTCTTTACAATCATAAAAATAGTAAACACAGCAGTAATAAATTTAGTATGCAGACAGATTGTGTATAAACTATTATGGGTATAAAATTTAAACAAATGCTTGAAAGTTGAAGACTTACAGTAAATGTGTATCCAAGAGTTTGAGCGCCTTTGACAAGTGCAGCCTCATCAGGAGAAGAGGCTTGAAAAATAATTTTTGTGGGATCTTCCTCACTTACTTCTGGAATGACAGTATGGCATACAGCCAAAAGCTGCAGAAATTCTCGAATCGTATCACTAGTAGGCGATTCCCGATCGTGATCTTTAAGTTTATTGAAATCATACCATCCTGAAGCTTTTCCATTTTCATCTATCATAATTTTGCGGTTGTCTGGAACAACTTCAGCGTAGGCAATACCGGCTATGCTCAGCATGCGGAACTCCATAATGTTGCATGTAAGTGTTCCAGTTTTGTCCGAAAATATATAGTCGATTTGACCAAGCTCTTCTACAAGGGATGAAGTACGGGCTGTTGCTGGCGTGTCTTCTAATTCATAATATAGGTCTTCGTCACTGTTGATGAGCGTTCCAAGAAAGTATCTTACAATCTCCATGGTAACAATCAAGCTGAATGAGCGTGTTTGTATAGGCAAGTAAATGGATTGGTCAGCATGCTTGTAAAAGAGTAGTCTAAATAATCAAAAATTACCTCATTGGAATCAGATTATTGAACAGAATGATATAGGTGATAATATTTCCAGGAAAACGACCCCACGCTTCTGAAGAGGGTACCATCATAATCTGCGCCTCAAAGGAATTGTAAAGCTAAACAAGGTATACAATAGCCAGTGTTGCTTTAGTTTCCAGTAAAATATTCGACCTGACTTGATCAAGAAAGCACTTACGTGGCGAGAAAGAGTTCCAAGAGCGCATATTACCGACATGGATACAAGGATAAAAAACAAATATATAATATGCCTGTTCACAAGAATGTCCAGATGGGTTCGCTTTATTGGAGTGGCGCTAAATGATCATTCAAATATATTATTCAGCACAAAATGGGCTGGTTATGCAAGATTTAGTTTACAGTAAATCAAGTATCTTACGTGGCATTTTTCATCAGCTTTGATTCATGCCCAGTAAATACAGCAATTCCATAGATCCAGCGTGTATTACGCAGCATTGCACCCTAAAGTATACTTGTCATGTTAATGGCTAAAACGACAATGTGATGTATCATGGATTTAAGCAGACCACATACTCGAAGTAAAAGCTGATCGGGATTCAGAGGGATTTCCTTTGCACCCAATCGTAATGTTCCTTCAAATGTATACAAGGAATTATTGGGCAATTCTGACTTGATCACACCTAAATAATAGAATCACAACATATTAGTTGCTTTCACTTTGATACTACACAGTAGGTCAGTGACAAAAATTTGCCTTCAATATTGGAAACATCATCTGGTGTCAAGTAATTCATTGTTTCAGTTAAGCCTTGTCGGATTTTGAGATTTGTTTCGCTATCAAATAGATTGTATTGAATATTGCAGTCAGCAACGGGTATATCAAACTGAAATTGCATTTACAAAGTATTACAACATACCCATCCAAATTACTAGTTTCAATATAGCATAAAGAGTCTGGCTCGGAGGAACTCAAAAGAACCAGATCAGCCGGAAAATACTGCGAGTTTTCAATTCGAACAATATCTCCAACAGCAACTTCGCGCCATGGTTTGGGAATAAACGATGTACCAGAAAGCGTGTTGACTAAACGAGCATTCACGATGGTGTCTTGGGCATGTCGCTTAAGGTCTTCCATAATTTCTTTTGCAGCTGAAACAGCCAAAACAATGGAAAGAGGAATAACTGTACCATATCGATTTGTTGGAGACAAGTCGCCAATTTGCTAATAGTTTTTAAACAGATGTCAAGGTTAGGTGAAATCATCGGGTAATCAAAACACAAGTGTGCTGAATACAGTAGCAAAAAATGTATTGGCTAAAATCCAAGATCTTATTTCAAGAATGTATTATTGCTGTATTTCAAACACAAATTGTACAAAGCACCAGATTCACTGCCAAATGTTTGGTGTGAGTGGTTCAAAGTCTGAAATAAATGCGTCCAACCTAATTCTGGTCACGACACGTTCCAGGTTGCTTGCAGACAACATTCTATCCATCCACACCACAAGAATAAAATATAGCCAATTCTTGCATATACTCATTCATAGCCATAGGGCAACACTCGACTCACCTGAATAATGGCAACAAATAAGAAAAACATATTTGCATACTTGGAAAACTGCTCAAACAAAAACTTGGGAATGAACGTGATGGTGTTGTATTTTCCAGTAGTAATACTGTTGGTAAGAAACTTTTGTGTTTGGTTTTTTATTGGGTCGTTTATATGGATGATGCGGTTGGTTTGGATGGCAGCACCATCGTTGGTATCATCGCCTAATAGCATTTCCGTATACTGTGATACGAGTTAACTAGGAGTAAATAAGCTCTTGAACGAGTCAGGGTTCGTGCTATCAATAAATGAGTTGAATGGAAAAAGGAAAGGTTGAGGGTCGAGATACTATACGCGGAGTTGGTTAATCTGTTATCAACATTGATAGCAGCCACGTGTCGAATCCATCACTAATCCTAATCCTAGCCCTGAACCAAGTCATTTCTACAGTTGTCGTCTTTCTATTCAGATTAATTTTGGTAATGTAGTCTCACTACAATAAAATACACCTTGAGTTTACTATCTATTTAAACTGAAATTATTGTATTGTCAACCTAATCTGTAACCCTGCACATCACTAGATTTCAACTGATGAGATTCAAATTCAAGAAACATTTCGCCATTTTCCACCACATAGACAGCATCCTCCATAAAGCCCACTCCACGTGGGTATTTTGGAAATCCCGTCAATCAACACCATACAGCTAGTATTTTTTGTTCCTTCCAGCAAATTTGCAAGCATTTTGGGTCCCGTATAATCACATGTGGAAAACCGACAACACATTAAACACTGTTTAACAGATGTAGAAAACCGCAAGTGTTGCCCTGTAATCGTATCGATATAAGGGAGCAAAACAAACTCCTTCTCGTTGGGAGTCTCGCGCTTGTGGGTCGCCGCAGCCCGTTGTGAGGTTGTGGACGATAATGGAATCAAACATTTAGAGGCTTTTGGAAGGTAATCAATTGGATCAAGTTCAAGACGGTCGATTTGCCCCGGAATAAACAGAGTAAGAAGGGAGTGCTGTTCAGATTTGTCGTTGCCTGAAGATTCCTTGAGTTTGGCAATGTGGGAAGGAAAAGCAGTGCCTTCAGGCCACTGACAAATATCTTTGATGTGACTGTTGAAAAGAGTTTGGAGTTGCGGAATAAGCGAGTGATGAATCGTTGCAGACCCAGAACCAATAAACAAGGCTAAGCATTCAGCAGCGAGAGATGACTCGGAATGCAACGAGAATCCTCTTTCAGCAGCCTGATCAAATTCAATCAAAAACGTGGCAAAGGAATCAATATTGATGCGTCTAACTGTTAAAAGGTTCTCGACTGATCGCACGTAACCCAAAAGAAATGTTGATCGCATAGTTTGCCTATTTTTTGGAAAGCTCAATCCCAAAAGTGTCTGCGACAAATTGTGCTTCAATACTTTGATGTAAAATAAACCCAGGATAAGTGCACGTCGTGATGGCTGATGCATTAGTGCCATAGCATGAACCAGTCCTAATAACGATGTTTTTGAAGATTCAGCTATAGCATTTTTGTTATCCATATTTGAATAAGTTATTTAGTTTACAGTTTAGTGCATGAACGCCAAAGTATCTTGTTAAAGTTTCCAGTTTATAATTCAGTTCGTGTGTAGTTACCATCAGGAGCTGGTTTAATAGCAGTGCTTTGAATATAAAGACTGCGTGCCAAAAACGCACAGTAATCCAGGATCCAAAGAGCATGCGGCACAAGATAGTGAAGTGTCTCTGCAATAAGAAAATAAGATGAAATATATTAGTCAAGATAGCGATTCGCGTATATGACATTTGCATATCAGTAGAAAAGGTAAAAATGCAAAATTCAAAGCTTATGACATACCCTTGTTCAACGTAATTTGAGTATGTTGTGTAGACGCACTTGTGAAACAGACAGAATTCAAATACAATGCATCTGGCCCAACGTCGCATTTCAAATCAAAAGTTAGTACCTGCAAGATGCAATATCATAAAAGTGTAGCAAACCTGAGTTATCGCTTGATAGATTTGCACCCATGGATGAAGCTTGAAATATGGAAGTGATGAATCGTAACCGCATCATTGCGCCAGTGTTTCTAAATGCAAAACTATTTGGCACAAAAATTCTAAATACAGCCATCGTGTATCATGACAAATCAACAGTCCCACAAGGTAAATAAAAGGCTAGTTTTAATTGCATGATTTTCAAATAAATCAAAAACTCAAGTCTATTTACCGTTGAATGGCCAATTGAATGCCTACAAGAGTATCAGCTGTGGCCTGACATCCAGATTCACTAAGCGGGTAAATAGAAGCCACTCCAAGATTAACAGAGAAATAGCTCATATATGCAAAATGAAGTCGTTGCAGCAATGCCGTACGATAAGATTCGGTTTTTGCCCATTCGTTTTGTGCCAATTCTTTTAATAGCACTAGATAATCGCTGCAGCATTGGCCATCAATCATTGCTGCAAAAATTCCGTCAGCGATTGCGTGTGCTATGGAATGAGCCAATGGAAGCGGCCGAAACAAATCCTGTACAGTCGTTGAAGAGACGTCATTGAGTTTTAAAGGTCCAGTGACAAACATTAACGAGTTTATGTGAGATGTAGTGGGGTTAGCAGAAATCTGAAGAGATGATTTTTGAGTTAGCAGATGTAGCCCATTTGGAGATGCATAAAAGGCGATGGAAAACAAATGAGCAGTGTCGTCAGTTCCATCAAGTGTCTCGGTCAATTGATTCAACGGATCTAGTGCAACATTTGGCATTGTGCCAAAGATCTCATTCAAGCCTAAAATATGCATGCAATAGAATCATTAGCATATTATATAGATCAAACACCATACTTGGCAAATAGGTCACGCCAATAAAATACAATCGCTACATATTTACCCATGGCTAGACCTTGATTGGCATCGAAGCCTATTTGATTTTGAAGATTTTCTGCAGGCACGGCCAAAGAGTTATCCAGCGCATCCATATCGTTAAAGAACATGTCAAGTTGAACAGACTCGGACTGTTTTTGCAATTCATTCAAGTCAGGCTTTAGCGATACAGCAGTATCATTCTCAAGCAGTGAAGAGTCATTTTCAGAAATATCAATGTTGTGGAAAAGAAGCTTGTGAGTGTTGTTTAAAAGTGCAAGAGTGGATGCATCGCGGTATTCAATTTTTCCAGAACTTGTACCAACAACAATGATTTGATCAGCAAAGTTTCCAGAAATGGAATTCAAATGACACAAAGCAGTCGGTTTTGTATTTGAGTAGATCCATTTTGATAATGGTTTCCATTCTTGTTTCTATTCCGTATTACAGCAAACCAAAAGGAAAGAGTTTAGTCAATTTAAAGTCCAACGATTTCTTGAAGTTTGATATTATGCACTGATCAACAACACTTGAATCCATTAAACGTAATGTATGCAAATACTAACCGTATCGAGAAAGGTTTCAGCAGTGAATTGTTCCCATACAGATAGCACATGTCTGCTACTACCATTCGTACTTGGTTCACGACAAACAACAGCCAATCGATTTTTGTCTATTGCATGAAACATGACAACATCTCCAGTAGGATCGATCTGCACACAAGTACTACCCATCACGACTATTTTTCCTGATGGTAGATTTAGCTCAATATCAACAGCATAGACGACGCCAGGAGAGCTGTATTTAATAAATATCCGAAAGCAGTTCTGAGCAACTGGATGAATAGTTGCTGCAGTGCACGCACCAGTCATTCCAGAAACATCCAGTTTGATTTTGTGATGAACCATGACGTGTTCCAAACTATAGCAATGGAGATTCAACTCGAGGAGTTCAGTGAGAGTCATGAATGAAAATGCACCAAATACAGAGGTTGATCCAATTACAGTTGAATGTTTAAATACAGCTGCCGATTCAAACGGTTGTAGCTCGTGTGAGGAGATTGTATTTGTAGTTTCAGGATATGTTGGTTGACACTAGTAAAATTAGGTTATTATATTAAATGTATTGATGTACTGTTCAATAAGCATTTAGTAGATATTGATTCATAGATTTAGTATGAATTACCTTGGATTGAGCATCACACCAAGCAAAAGCAATGACAGACTGATCAACATTAGTGTCGTAAGCATGTTCAAGAGTACAAGCAGATTTATGATGACTCCAAATCCCAACGGAACCATTTGAATCAATTGTAGCCAGATAGTATCCAGTAGGATTCCATTTAACCGTATGAATACGATTTATTCCATGAGTGGATCTGATTTCTGTACTGTTGGTGAATGCAACTGCGCCAATGTACTGGACTGCCGTTTTATCGGCGTGCTGAACCTTGTAATCTATAGGATTCCACAGCAGTAATTCATAACCACTGAATTCAATCAATTAGTTGTCTGTATGTTCAATTCATAGAGGATTCTTGATACCTGGTTCTGGAGTTGGTGTATGACTGTGAAGCAGATCCAAACCTGACAGTAGAGCCAGGAGCCAAAGACATGGCAACCACGTTCTGAGCAGACCAGTCCATGACAGGGAAATGGTTTAATATACAAATAGCAATCTGTAATCAGTCCAAGTCTGGACTAGTGAGTTGCAGCTGTGAACGGATAAAGATGTGGTCGATAACTTCAAGTGTTGAAGCAGGAAGAGTACAAATTCAAACACTTTCTACCCTACGGACTGACTTGAAGCGTATCTCGTTTGAATGCTCACTAGCAGCAGTGCTTCAACAGCAATGTGTTGGCAATCCTTTAGCAAAGTTCAAGTGCGCGTCCAGCAAGAATCAACTTTATTTTCTATACTTTTTCATGACATTTTTACAGCTGTTTCCATCTTCATTCGTTGGTTTTGGTCAATCCTGTCATTTCCATCACTTGAAAAACTTCTTTTTGCATGCCATTCACATCCAGATATTCACACACTCGCTGCACTATAAACATATCCATGACACCACGATCGTCTGTATACCACGACGTGCTTCTACTGTGGGTATATCCATCCTTCTTTAAATTGCTGTTTGATTGTTGTACTGCTTGAATGGCTTGAATAACTCGAAAAACAAGTAACGGTTTGGTAGATTTGGATTGAATAAGATCAATGATAACAAGTCGCATATCCATGGCTGATGGTAAGTAAATTGGCATCCAGTGTATGCATTTCTCAGTACCATCAGAATCCAAACACCAAACCCATCGAGGCTGATCGCGCATGCAGTTGTTTTCAAAGTCCCATCCAATCATAAAACCAAACCACTCCATTCCTCTTTCCATACCATCGTCTAATTTTAAATACCCACTCACAAATACCATTAGCGTTGTCCTGTCCATTCCTACTCCTAGTCGATGCAAAAAATCCATAACCCATTGTTCAGCTACATCCATCCCTTTGCCACACTCTATGGCTTCTTCTACTCGAGCTTTTGCAACCGCCAAAATAAGAGTCGTATACGATCCGTACGAATCAAATTCACTGGACAAAACATCTTTTGATATGTGTTGAATCACTTTGTGCACCATGTTTGACACTGTTGGTTTATAATCAACATGACCAACAAAATGTCTTTTTGCCACAGTTTCTGTTGAGCTAGATGAATACCCGGCTTTCCAGTTGGGTTTTTGAGTATATACTCGTAAAAGTGTCTTGACAAGCACAAGATATGTGGGTTGATCATGGATATGGTCTTGAAGAAGATTCATATATTCTTGGTAGTGTCCATGAAGCAGATACCAGTGCGCCAAGTGCTGAAGAAACCGTGCATCCATTTTGATTCCAGAATTTAAAACAGTAGTAAGAACACGCTGAGCTAATTCGTCATCGCCCGATCGTATTGCTAAATGAAACAATACTGTCCAAACAGCTAGATCGGGTTTCATTACTGGTTCTGTATGCTCCTTGATTGACGATGCAGGTAAAGTAGTGGAGAGTGTCTCGCCATTTAGTGTCACACCCATCCGACGCATACATTCCGAAGCAACATCCACCATGGGATTGTATCCAAGCAGTGCACCATGAGCAATACTCGTATATATACCAACATGACCATGTATGCCCATGGCTTTCACTTGGTCTGAACTAAGAATTTTTAAAGCAACATCAGCATAGGTGTTCATAGAAAGTCCACCAATAACCACCATTACTGTGTCATGGGATAAAGCGAGTCTGCGATCCGGTAAAGCTTGAATAGGACGAATATTGATATCGCGAATACGTGATCGTGGTCCATTGAGATCTGCAGGAATGCCAAAATAGTCTGGTGCTCCAGTGGAGTCTATTGTGGCTGGAAGAAAAAAAGCATAAAGAATAGCCAGAGCAGAAAGTAGGCACCGGCTCCAAAAAAGAACTCGCATGATTCGATGTACAATCCAGTCATTGGAGAGTGGATACGCTGATTGTGTCATGAGTAGATTCAACATTCTAACTGCACTGTCCAAATCTTTTGTCATTATAAAACCATACGTTACTAGATCATATACTTGTGAACGCGGGTCATATCGACGTGAAGAAACACTCGATAAAGTATCATGGGTGCTTTGGGCTGAATTGGCTCGTTTAGCTTTAAATTCATTATAGATCCGCTTTGTTTGAAGTAGCTGAGAAGCATCGTCATGATAGGCAGATAGTCGTCTTGTGTAAAATGCATCAAGAGGCTGAATAAGATCGTCTGAGGGTTGAATACCTTTATCCAATACTATAGTGCGCAGCACTTGCATCAGCAATTCCAATTGTGTGTCTGTACGCTTAGTCAATACAATAACAAAAGGCACAAGACATTTACTATATATGCCTTGCTGTATTGAGTCAATTTGATTTTGAGCATCGTTTTCTATGATTAGCATGCTAGATTCAGATTGAAGCGGCGTATCAAGCAATCGACAAATGGTCGATACCACATGATGAACAGATAAATGCATTAGAGGAACAGCGCATTGAATAACCTCTAAACACACGGTAGACCAGTGATCTCTCAGGGTTGGATTATATTTAACGTTATCTGTCAGCATGAATGCCAACGAATTCAATGTATTTACATTATCGAATTCAATAGCAGATATTGCCTTTAAAATTACTTGAAGATCAGACGAGGTTTTAAGTAAATGTGAGAGCGTTGTGGGTTTAGGAGAGGCTGTGGGATGATCTGAGTGATCCATTTCTGGTGATAAATAAGTTTTTATGGGAGATTGATGGTTACGAAGTGGACCAAGTAAACCTTCGTATGCTAATGCAGCTGCAGATGGGTTTTCAGGTTGTTGGTGCGGCGCGAGTTCAGATTTGATCCGAAGCCATCGCCGATTGCAAGATGTCTGTGAAGAGTAGAATCGAGACTGATTAAAATGGTTAAATTCTTTTGAAACAGGCAAAACTGTCGAGTAGTTATTATAATGCATATGCTGTGTATTAAATGTCAAGCCAAGGTATCTAGCTCGATGCGATCTGTAATTGCATGGAGAGCAATGTAAATGAAGGGATGTCCAAGACCGTGGTGCGGCTGTAGTGGATAATAGTGAATCTGATTCAAATGATAATAGCGACACCAGATGAAAAGAAACGGTATCTATCCATGATGATATGAATGAAACTGATGCTGTAATTTTATCCATGGTGTGATGTTTCAACGAGTGATTTGATAATGGCTATATAATTAACGTGAAGATATTGATTTTGAAAGCATCAGTGATTCATACAGCATCAAAAGCAAGGATAGTTATTCCAAGTGTATGGCCATATTATTAGGACAAATACATTGATCATGGTGTATCAGTAAACAATGATTTTGCCCAATACTTGACCTGATTTACAACACAGGATAATAAAGGAATATCACAAATCATCAATAACCTACAGCTTTTGATGAATTAGTGTGTATGGCAGTGCTAGTGGAAGAAAACTGTTGATGTAATGGGTGACTTTGGCTTGTATGGGTTATCGAAAGATCCAAAGCAGTTTTCCTGTTCAGCAATGGTGATGTAAAGCTCAAGGATGAATCATTTTGATACTGAATTTGAGCCGAGTTGCATTGGTATGAAAACAAAAAACAGCAGCAAGAATGGTAAAAGACAGATACTGAAGTATTAGAAAGTGATCTGTAGCGAATGCTCTTGACATGGTTGATATGTAAGCAAGTAAAGAGTTGTTTTGATAAACGTCGTAGCAGCAGTGATGTGTGCCAAGATATGCACGGATATAGAGAAAAGTGGGTCATATAATGCACAAGAACAGCAATTCATCTGCCAGCAATGCTTTTAAAACAACCAGATCAATCACTGCAAGAGCAAGTTGTAGATTCAATGAATGGATTTACTGCAGCTTCACTTGCAATCTTCAAACGAAAGTTTTCCGTCAGACAAATCTTGCTCGTGTTTTCAACCCTCGAATTGGCTTGACTTGAACAGTATCTTGTTATGAGTTGTTAGGACACAATTGACCATCTTGTCATGATGGATTCCTACGACATGCGATTAGATCATTCTTGCTCTCAATGCTAGTTAGAGATGGCGGATAAATATCTTGAATGCATTCAATTCATCCGCAATGCTTAAAATATTGGAACGCATGTGGCTGCAGTGTCATAGACTGGCAGTGCATTCAACTCTAGTATAAATAGAGTCAACAACACTCGACATTCTTCATCCTAAAACCATCTCTCTACTCTAACCATGTCTCACATTACTTTTGAAGGTGTTCCTTACTTTGTCGAGGGTAAAGAAGGCTCGTCTGTTGGCATTATTGTTATCCAGGTTGGACTTGCTGTTGTCTGAATACTCGCACGTTTGTGTACTCTTCCATTGATGCTCATATATTTTGATTCTTTGATATGATTAGGAATGGTGGGGTGTCACTGATCATATCAAGCGCATCACTGGTCGTTACGCACAGGCTCTTGGTTGTGTTGCCATCTCTCCTGATCTGTATCGCGGCAAGGTTGCTGCTCACTCTGACGAGGCCAATCATCTTATGGGTGCTCTCGATTGGCCACAGGCAGTCGAGGATATTCGAAATGCTGCCAAGTATCTGCGATCAAAGGGTGCCAAGAAAGTTGGTGTCGTTGGCTTCTGCATGGGTGGTGCTTTGGTAATATCTCGATTATAATGTTTTTCCGCATATTGTTCCACTTGCTTCTCTAACCTCGGCAATGGACTTCAACTTTGATCATTCAGACAATTGCCTCTGCTGTCAAGATCCCCGAGGTCGATGCTGCCTCATGCTTCTACGGTATTCCTCCAGTCGCTTTTGCTGACCCGAAAAATATTCAGTGCTCCATGCAATTCCATTTTGGTGAGCACGATGATGCCAAGGGATTCAGTGACAAGGAGTCTGCACTTGCTTTGAAAACTACTCTCCAAGCTAGTGGCAAGGACGTGTCCGAGTTCTACATCTGGGATGCCGGTCATGGTAAGCTCTTGTTGTATTTAGTGGTGTCTGTATTTTAAACATTAGTAACCAAACAATATCTACACTACTAGCATTCATGAACGAGGATGCGCCTGCCTACCCATACAATGAAGCTGAATCTAAAAAGGCATTTGCCAAATCTGTCGAGTTTTTCAAGAAAAAGCTTGAATAAATTCAGTTTTAACATTGCAATTCATCCTTGTATTTATCCTGCAGTGATTGCTTTTCAATATACACAATGGTTGAGTGTTTTTCCTTGCTACAAATCCATATTTTCAACCCTTCAAAAGACGACCATAGTACAATCAGAACATGACGTTTCTCATGGCCATACAGTGTATGACCAGATATTAAACTCGACCATCTTCAAACTATACACTCCTTGTATCTTAATCTCAGTTACTTTCATGCTCTAATTTAGGAAAGCAAGAATGGCAGAAATACAAGTTGTTCCCATTTCGACAAACAGGAGAAAGACCAGTAAGTTGATATCCATCACTTGATAAAAACTGGCTGTTTATTATGTAGTTTAACACCTTGTTTAGTGTTTCATTTTACGTGAATACGACAGCAACGAAATTGTGACTTGAAAATGGAAAATTAACCCGGAAAAAAAGCCTGAATAGTTGATCAACTCAGTAATGCACTCGCATTCATGATCAAAGATGGGCCGGAATGAATCATGCAAGAGATGGCAGTTTTGGGTAGTAATACTGTTCATGACTTTTAGAGATTGAAACTCCAGAGTTCTAACGCATCTATCTGGAATGATCCAGGAGTAGTTGCAAGTGGTGCATTGAGAAAGGTGGAGCAAGTTTCTGAATGTCCCATATTAATCTGACTATCGATCCAAAGCCCAAACTTGCCATCACTACAAAGAGCGAGATGCAGAGTTGTTCAAATTGATAAACGAGAAAATAAACAATTAGCAACCAGTAAAAACAGTGAATGGCCAAGTTGACAAAAAGTGCAATTTCGGCTCACGATGCCGAAATGATGACAGTCTGCTTCAAATCAAAAGCAATTCATATCAGAGTAGATGCAAAGCAGAGATACCAAACATGTGGAATAGTCTGGTGGATCTGAAGAGCAAAATCATATTCAATCTCCATGTATTCATTAAAGTCGGTAGCAAACTAAACTTACCCAGCACCAAAGGCCAGTTCAGCTCCAGATTCACTTAGCATAAAGTAATCATCGTTGCCAGTAGCCATGTACAAGGAAATAGTCTTTGAGCCAGAGTCTGTATGATTTGGGTGATGTTGTTGCTTCCACAAGAAACAGCTGCCATTGCCGTAGAATCCCTTATGGCGAGCAGGAGGCTCTGATAAAAATGCTCCAAATATAGCTCCGTATACGTCCCGTATGACCAGCATCACAGGACCATGAAATCCAACAGCACCGCGAGCAGTGGTACTCTCATTAGCTCGAGTAAAGAGAGTTTGTAAACTCATGCCGTGTTGGTCGGTCGAATAACGCAACTGCCATGAATCAGCCTCTCGCTGCAGTGGCGGAAGTGTATCTCTCAGAATCTCCGCAATAGCTGGATCCAAAACAGTCAGTGTATGTTCGTTGCGTCCAGTAAGTCTCACTAGATTACGCTTGGTTGGAGATAGAGGGGATATTGGGGAGTAGGAGCTTTCTCCATTGTTATTGCTGGTTGCTGGAGTCGCTGCAGTTGGAGAAATAATATGATTGTGAGCATTTTTAAAAAAAGAGATATGTCGGTTGATGTGAGGAGGCATGATGGATTGTGGTAGTAGCTTCTAATAACAATGGGTAAGATCGAGCAAGTGACCCAAGCAACTTTGGGTTGACTATATAACAAAAGTATATTTTGATGAAAACCTTGAAACTTGAGGAAATGCGTAACAAACTCGTGTGATGGGCCACTTGGTGGCCGAATAGATTTGTGTTCAATGGAAGCTGCTTTGAATGGGTTCGATGCACATCCCCTTGTAACAATATCCCAACACATCCTTGGCTGTTCCTATTTTTACTACAGTCATGAAAGGCTGTGAGCAGATTGTCAGATAGGGCGGGAAAAACTACTTTTGTGATTCCGTTCAAGCTCATCGATGGTTTAAATCCGATTGATTGCTGATCAATATTACTACTCTAGTATTGATTGTCAATTTTTAATAAACACATTACAAACATTTAGTTCATTTACATGAATAATCAGATACAGTCTTGGACAAGCGAGCGTACAACTACATTTTCCAAGACTCGCGGAAAAAGGCTTGACCGTGATCAATCACCACATTTTCAATATCACGAACCATACGCTCAGGACCTCCGGCAATCACAGCAATCTTAATGTTAGACTGATTCTCGATACTATTATAAAAGTTGAACACTGATTCAAGCTCATAGGCAAAGTTTGGCCGATGAGCGACCCAGGTAAAGCGTTCCTTGAACCACTCGAAAGATGCGGGAGTGACATCAATAGGCTCCACGTTTGAAACAGCAGCATCAGTTTGCTTCATTAGTGAGACCATCCATACAAAGGCAAGACCACTGATAGCAGCAAATAGACAGGCAAATCCAGTAGGTGCCCATTGGGGATAATACCAACACATAAAGTGAGAAAGTCCAACAAGCGTGTATGCTTCGTCGGCATTGCATTCATCGGCATTGTATGCGGGAACATAGGTACGTCCAATAACGTATCCCACAGCTGCAGCACTAAATACAATTATGGAAAGAAAAATGGCGGACAAACGGTAGGATGGTTTGGTAGTTGTGCTTGATTGTTCATAGCCAACAGATTTAGAAAGGGTGGAAGCAAAGTTCGGGTTTCCATTAAATCCGGATCCAATGCGATGGTCGTGTTTAGTAGATACACGAGAATCCTGCTCGCGAGTCAAATGCAGATGCAAGTCGACACGACCAGCAAGTGGTGAATTGGGATCAGAGAGAGCTTCAAGTAGAGAACGATATGCGCACGCTTCAACAGCAGTGCGAGCCAACCAAAATACCGTGATTTTCCCCAGAGTATGTTGGGCATAGCTGTATATGTAGGGGATTATAGTAGCAATACCAGTTCCAGCACCCACAACAACAAGGTGTTGGTAGGACAAGTAGCTGTTGTTGCGCGACCCAAAAAATCCGTCCATCTTAATTGGAACCATGACACCTAAGCCGGTTGACGAAGCGTGCAGCTGCGTAGTCCATGCACCTCGAGCCTTGATATATAGAGTAACGGTGCGAGGAGTAAGATGATGACTGGAGGAGATAGAAAATGGGTGCCAATTGAAATGGGAAATTGAGGGAACAAGTATATTGACCCAACTGCCAGGAGAATATGTACAAGAATCTGCATAGGTTTGCAAGATGGCAATATCCAGCCGAACTACTGACGGAGAAACACGAGTGAGCAGAGCAGATGTGGTGCGCTGAGTTTTAAGGCGAGGTAAAAGCCGATCAAAGATAAAGTACACGAGTGAAGCCATAACTGGATACCAAGTTCTAGTTTGGTGCATGAACGCAAAAAGCAGGAAACAGGTATAAAGCTGATGCGTCCAATAAAAGATGCGGTAGTTGGCACGACGCACTTTAAAGATAGAGGTCAGAGCCATAAGCATCAAAGAAAGCCAAGCTAGAAATCCAAAAAAGTTGGAATAGCCAGTGTCACTGAGAGTTGGCAGTATCTCATTGGGAAAAGCACCATCTATCACCATGATAGTAAGGTAATATGTGCCATGAAAGGTAATTTGGACAAAGCTCGTGTATCCCAAGGCAATGTGATATCGGAGACCACGATGAAACTGGCCAGCATCCTTGCCAACAATGTTTTTGGTAATATGATTCTCACGAACAACAAATACAATAGCCATTGCAGCATTCCACAAACCAGCCATGGCTATGTATGTTTATCACAGAGGTATGCAGCAGTTCAAGTTTTTAATTAGTACTGTTGAAAAGGGACATGCACTAGCTTGAAATCCAGCTACACGGTGAATATGCTTGTGAAATGTTTAAACTTACCGGCCCAAATTGCAAATCGAGCAAGCATGCCGCGGGGAGTGGAAAGTGTTTTTGAGGGTTTTAGATACAGACGAGTAATCACAGGAGCAATCCACCATAGAATATTGGAGATGACAAGCAAACAGGTAATCATAATATCTCCTTGAGACCATGGTTTGAAAAGAGTGCTGTATTTACCAAGGAATTTGAAACGGGGATTCCAGAAACCAGAGCAATGAAGTGGAGTGGAGTGGGCGGTGGAAGACCGACCATCAGCAGATATTGTGTACTCGTCGTTTCTTCCCGTGACTATAGAATCTGGTGTATTTGGATCGCTAAAAAAGGTAGATAGTGTGGCAATGAACATGGGTAACAGTGCGAATCCAAGAATCCATTGGTCAAATCGATCCACAACCATAATGGAACTACTCCAGCGCAATTTTCCGCCTTCAACCATTGATGCTAAAGCGTAAGAAGCCACCAATGCCACGAGCATGGCCAACGTAGCCAGTATTCTGGCGGCTAGACGAACAACAGTTGGTGATAAAATAGGTTTGCGAGGACTGGCAGCAATAACACCCATCTTGGTTTTTTTAATTGGTAAAGGAGCAATGACCGAGCTACTTGGTCTTTTTAAAACAATATTTTTACTAGATGCAAGGTTCAGAATCATCAGTGTGTTTATTGAAAAAAGTGTGATTGGCACATGCATTTCATGATGCCATGATATCTATTAATGTAATAACCGCGTGGAATGAGTTCGATACTGAAACCACGGCTCCTATAATGATATAAATTGGTTGGAACAAGGGCCGGGTTTGCATGCATTCAACGATGAAACTGGTGAAAAAAGTATAAACTTTGGTCAAAAAACAGTCATTGCAAACTTTTATTGTCGGAAGCAGCAGTTTGCTTCCGATATAGACAGGGATGCGGTTAAAGCTATTAATCAAAAGACCCCTTTTAGAGTAAAATCGCATGACATCATTTTTTGAACTACTTTATCGGATTTGAATAAATATAGATTAGTAATTTCAACTAGCCGAGCTGTCGTGGTTATAGGTATAGAGTGACGGTATAAACTTTGAAGCTCGGTACGTGTTTTGGAGGTAAAATAGATATTTTCAGGAGCAAAGTTGAAATGGAACATAGCTGCACTGTTTTAATTTTATTTGGAAATATCCAGCTATGTACTATTCGAGTCTCATGTTGCAAAAAAGCAGCATGCATCAAGTCTGGCAATAGTTGAGACCAAATGTGCTTTTAAAAACGTTCATGTGAGTGGCAAATCAAGGTGCCCAGGTCTTATTGGATGGTTAATTCATTAAATTTATTATGGTGATGCTCTACACGAGATTCCATCAGTAGTGTGAAATATCAACTTATAATTCTAAAGAATTAGCACATGGTGGTAGAAACAGTTTATAACTGCCTACCGAATAATGAATGTATTCCGCCCCCTGCAACGCTTGACTGGTTACTAGTCATTAAACTGGGTTTATATTGAGAATAAAAGGAAATATGACACAGCGAGTCCAAAGTATTCATTTCCAAAGGTAGGTTTAAATGTGTTCGGGAAATTGATTAGCCATTGTGTGGAACATAATAGGGTCTTGCATCATGATAATTTGTCCAACATGCGAAAATTCACGTTTAAACGGATCGACGTTTACGGCTGTATTCACGTAAAACGGAGGCGAATAGCGATGCCAAAATATAACAGCCAGCCTCATAAAATCATTCGTGTTAAACTACTGGATAATACCGACCTTCTAAACCACTTGTGGGTATTGACAGAAAGAATGAGAATGGGGAGAGAAAGTCAGAAATTGTCATTTCGTCCCCACGACTATCGACTGCATACGTACTGGATATATGGTTGAATTCGGCAAATCGAAGCCGCGCATTGCAAAAGTAAACTATCCAACTCTGCTCTAAAACTATCCTAATCTATTGCAGGAATGGACAGGACCCCATATTTTTGTGGCATTTAGAGGGATGTACATAACATGACTGAAAATCTAAATATGCGTCCATCCCATTCTTGCAAGGTGTTTTATTTCAATACAAGGCATTGTGAAAAAATTGAGAAAAGGAAATTGTTTACTCCATTTCCACGTGGTATACCAAAAAACGCAGGCTTTGATGAACGTTTGTCAAACTGCCAGATTTTTGTCTGATAAAAAGACGGTTGCCCCCTCTGCTCTTATCCGTGTAGATCTGCCGATTGACTATTCTTGTATATGGCAGACATTGAAAAGGTTCGCGAGGCCAATGAGCTTCAGCATGAAAAAGAGATTCTCTCCAAAACCAATGATATCGAGGATATTGACGCAAGCTAGTATGTATCTGAATGAGAGTTGGCTGATATATCTGTTTAATGCCTATTTATAACTCTTGTGCTGCTTTTGCATTCTATTGTATTTTTATTACAACATCTCATTGAAATTCGTCCGATCACAGTGCACAAGCATTCGTCAAGGCTATTGTTCCTGAAACCGATGATCCTAGTACTCCCTCACTCTCAGTTCGTATGATTCTTATCGGCGCTCTCTTTGCTGTTGCTCTTGGTCTTTTGAATGGTAAGATCCTGCCATATTTTCCTGTAGTCCCTGTTTAAACTGTCACATTTTCTATTATTATTTTGCCGAAAGCATATCAACTCGGATCAAAAATGCCGCAGTATCCTGTTCCTTTGTTTTACACAACACCTGTTTATTGTATTACATATGGCAGATTAAATGGTTACCGTGTTTTAAGGGTTGTCATTACTGAATTCGAGTCCATCTTTTTGTTGAGCCATTAAGTTGTCTTCATGTAAAATAGACCACTTGCATTTATCTTGCAGTGATTGCTTCTATTTTGCTTTGAGATGTACAATGGTTGAACCTTTCTTGCGCTTTTCTATTAGACATTGACTATTTCTTGAATAGACATTGTTAACCCTTTAATCACAACGTCCATCATATGATACTCGAACTATTTTTGAATCGAGATTATCCTTTTTGGCATAGCCATGCATTGTACAATCGCCAAATTCGGAACCGGATATTGAGTTTGTTTTGATATCATCAAACTCATTATTGTCATATTGTAAAAGCTTGTATGTTTACGTTCGAGTTTAAATGACACAGTGCTGTCCAGTAGATTTGATAAAAGCCGATTATTATATACCTCAACATTTCCACTGCTTTATTTATGCGAATACAGCAGCAATTGATTTCACTGACGCTTGTTTTTGTTAGGCATCTTTTCTTTCCGTACAAACTCCTTTTACATTTCAGGCAATGTTGTTGCCTTGCTTTCGTATCCCATCGGTGTATTCTTTGCCGCGGTTCTCCCTCACGGCATCCTTAACCCAGGTCCTTTTTCTATCAAGGAGCACGTTCTTGCATACACTATTGCGTCGGCTGCTGGTGGTGCTCCATACGGCATTGAAAATGTTATTGGTCAAAAATTCGACAAATTTATGAATGATACCAATGTTACTTTTTGGAACTCGTTTCTGTTCATTCTTACAACCCAAATGGTTGGATACGGTCTTGCTGGTATGACCCGTCGTTTTCTAGTTCGTCCTGCTGCCATGTACTGGCCCACTTCTCTCCCTGTCGTCGCGCTCTTTGTTTCTTTCCATGAAAAGGAAGAGAGTGAGGAAGTCAGGAAAGTCGGAGGTCTTTCCCGCCATGCTTTCTTTTGGATTGCATTCTCATGCATGTTCCTGTGGCAAGTGTTCCCCTCCTTCTTTGCTCCTGCTCTGCAAGCTCTTTCCTTGCTGTGCATGATGTCCAACAACCGCGATGCTCGCATTTTTGGATCTGCTACTCCCAATACTGGCTTCGGTATTCTCTCCTTTACTCTTGACTGGTCCAACTTTGGCACCTACTTCATGCCCTTGTCGACTCCATGGTGGGTGTCGGCCAATTTCTTTGTTGCCAACGCCTTTATTTTGTGGATCGTGGTTCCCATCGTCTATTACAAAAATGCATTCCATAACCCCACAATCAAGGGTGCGTACGTCTTTCAAGATGGTAGCGATTTCCCCCGAATTAACTCTCCATCTCTATACGACAGAACTGGCTCCAGGGTTAATCCCACCAAGTTTTATAACCAGGGAATTTATGATCTCAATACCACTGCTTATGAAACTTATGCTCCCATCTATCTTACTGAAAATTTTGCGGTTACCTACGGTACTTCGTTTTTTGCCCTTACTGCTGGTATCATGCACGTCGGACTCTGGTACCACAAGGACATTGTACGTCAAACCAAAGAGATGCTTGCTCAGGTCGGCGAGGAAACTCCTGATATTCACAACGAACTCATGAAGGCTTATCCAGATATTCCCGAGTACATGTATCTTGGCTGGTTTGCTTTTTGGATGGCTATTCAGTTTATGGTTGGATACCTTACTCCCTTCAAACTCTCATGGTGGGGTACCATCCTGGGTTTCATTATTGGTATTGTTTTCCTTGTCCCATATGGAATTATCCAAGGCTCCACTGGACAGCAGCTTGGTCTTAACATTTTGACTGAATTACTCATGGGTTTGATGATTCCTGGCCAAACCATTCAGGTCATGACATTCAAATCGTATGGTTACAACATCATGATTCAGGCTCTTGCGCTTTCTTCTGACTTGAAGATTGGCCATTATTTGCACATCAATCCCATCCACATGGTCTTTTCTCAGTTGTTTGGTACCATCATTGGTGCAGCCTGCAACACTGCCTCTGTCTGGATTGCCATTTCTTATTTCCCTCTCGATACTCCTGACTGGACTTATCCTGGCCACACCACTTTCTACAGCGCCGGTGCTATTTGGGGTGCTATTGGTCCAGCACGTTTCTTTGGTCCATCTTCGCCATATTATGCTCTGAACTTGGGTTATCTGTTTGGTTTGATTTTACCCGTTCTCCCCTTTCTCGGTAACAAGTTTTATCCCCACCCATACTGGCGCTTCATTCATTTCCCCATCATGACCAATATCTTTTACACTGGTGGTATCATCTCCGCCGTATCCTCATTCATTATTGTTGCATTCATTTTCCAGTACGTCATCTTCACATATGCTCACGGCTGGTGGGAGAAATACAACTACGTTCTCTCTGCTGCCTTTGATGCTGGCTCGGGTATAGCTGTTCTTATTACTACTCTTGTTGGCTTTAAGATTGTTATTCCTCCTTCGGCCGTCAACCCAGCCATGTATGATTTCTATTGCACTGGCACCAACTGGGATGATGCGCAATTCCAATAAGCTTTGAAATATATTTGTACACCAATAGCACCTTGTTTTATCTTGCCTTGTGTAGTTATCAACCACATTTTAAAATAAATACTAAAATTTATATTGAAATAAAATCTCTTGATTATAAACTACAGCCATGTCCATGTAACATGGAATACTTGCATTCATCTTGTAGTAATTGCATTTTACTTTCAAATAAACAGTCGTCAAATGTTCATTATGCTCTACTACGCTTTACTATGCTTACTACCAAAAACCGACTGCTTGTTCAATTGGCATGCTCAATTCTTTTAAACAACCATCATATGATTCTCGTACAACCAAATTATCACTTTGTCCATCATTGCCATAGTAATGCATTGTACAATCACCAAGTCTGGACACATACTCATTCATTGCAGCCCACTGATTCAACTCGACTATTCTGATGTCATCAGTCAAACTCATATTTATTGTAACCCAAACCACAGATACGTTGCGCTGTAATTCAGATAACAATGATTGCATGTTTCGGTAATACGATTGTTGTTTTCACGCCAACCATCTAATATGTGTACTGTTTGGTCTGTTTGTATTGCTGATTTGAATCGCATGATCATCTATCGTTTGTGTTTCTTGTACCACGACGACAATATGTTTTGTTGACAGTCAGCTTACTGAATCACCTGCTGACTCATTTGATCCAATATATGACAGCGTCACTTATTTGGTCTAACGACGGTTGTTTGCTGATATTGGTGTTGGTGTTGTTCTGACACAATGTTTCAGCGTTCCATGTATAGTCTACACTAACCTAAACCAATCGTGCAGTTTTACAACCGGATATTCATGCTGTCGAAATACTGCAATTGCAGCCTGATTGTGCCATCAGAATGTTTCCGGATCATGATGAAACCGGATTGTAATGTATATATATATTGTGCGTTCCATATTTTGGTTTTGACTGTCACAAGTGCAATATGTCAAGTTGTATTGCAAGTCGGTAGTCCATTGTTGTAACGACAACGGCCATCTAAAACTATCAAGTGCTGTGATAATATGTGCCAATATATGACCCATTCCAACACAATATTTATTGGGAGCTCATCTGGTTTGATATCAATATTCAAATAATTCGATGCAAACCAGAATAGTGATCGGACTGAAACCAATATGATGCATGCATATCCACCATCAAATCAATACTGCGTCAACATGATGACAGTCATCAATCGAGTGCAACCACGAACCCCATCAAATCAGCATATATCCAATACCCAATGCCCAATACACACCATAATCAATTAGACCAACTGGTTACAAATATGATACCGGTAGCCTGTCGATCGAGCAATACAATGGCCGCAATAAACAACAATATTGCTGATACTGGTTATTATGCAGTTATCATGACGCTGGCTAAATAAATAATCTGGCATGCTATACTCATTGCGGTCGTGGTTGAGCAAGCACAGTCGTATATCAGGGTTGTATAAGGAATAAATGATTGACTGTACAAGGTAATTGTTGGTGTAATCAGGTTCGACACTCTGTGTATATGATTTTGTAGTTATAAGGAATCGCTTACCAAGGGCCAAGTGTAACTGCAGGGTGTTTTATCTACTTGAGCAGTGGTTAATCCACAACCTAAAAAACTGTACACCTGCCTGAAACTGTATGTCGCACTACACGATCAGTCGAGCTCTTTCATTATCAACTTACCACCCTTTTATACTACCGCCGTTTTGGTAGTCACAGTGAGGATTTACTATAAACGGCCAATGATAAACATAAAGCATTTTTAAAGCACTCCCTACACAAGTTGATCCTTATCCCTAGAACTCATCCAGTACACGATTTCAATTATAAAAGATGGAGTTGTGGATGTTTGAATGGGTCACTGATCAAATAGGCATATAGTCGCTAGACCAGATGAAATTCGCAAGCGCATCGATTTTTGCAGCTCTTGCTCTAAGCAGTAGTATCTATGCTGCACCACCACTAAAACTTCCGAGGCTTGCATACACCACTAGTGTCGCTACCGCAACTGCCACTGCCACTGCAACCACCAGTTTACAACCTAGTTCACAAACCATGAGTAATACACCCACTTCAACTAGAACCCCTCTTGGCGAACCGATTTATCACACGAGTCCATTTTTTACAGCCATTTTATTACAATTGATTCCTGAACATCAAGGCAGTAGCAATCTCCGTAATACCATGGTTAGTGAGGTTTTAACCAAAGTGTCCGAGGCAAAGAATACTATGTATAGGGAAAATGGAATCACGCTTACTCCTGAAGAACTCGACCTTGACCGTGCAACATCTACTAGAATCACAGGTGGTAGAAGATTAGTAGAGTATCCGGGTAGACATACGTTTTTTGGAATATTGATGTCCGCTATTCAAGATCCACCAAACTTTACAGATGAAAATGTGATGGCTGCAAGTCCCGCAATGACTGGCTCATTGCATTCTGGAGATGCTCAAGCTGCGCCATTGCCTGTTCTTGATTTGGAAACCTCACAGGTGTATGTCCAAAGTTTTTTGGACGAACTTTTGCGCTTGATGAGGCAGTTTGATATGTGGTTAGCAAGAACCAAGTCAAATGTCAAGAAAATCAAAGTTGAACCCAAGAATACCGAAACATCTGCACTCATCACTGCATTCAATTCGTATTTCAGCCAAATGATTGCCAAATTTACACAGGCAACAACTAGCTTAAGTCAATTACTGCAAAACACAGGTGAACCCAGAGATCCTAACGATTTAATTGCATTAGGTCTAACTATAATAGAGGATATCCGAAAGGATCAAAAAGACGAAAAACCATTTTCAGATGCAGTTTACAAGTTTTTCAAACATGACCTGCGAGCTAAATTACTAGCCAAATGGATACTTGACGTTTGTTTCTATCCTTTTGATCAAATGTTAAAGTCAGGGAAACAACTGAGAAATCAGTTGAATGGCATCGACGGTGATGATCCACATGATGATGGTGGATCGAATCCTCAACCGGTTGAGCATGAAGTGGATCCTCAGCCAGTTGAGCATGATGTTGATCCTCAGCCAGTCCAGAATGATGTTGATCCTCAGCCGGTTGAGCATGATGTTGATCCTCGACCGGTTGAGGATGAAGTGAATGTCAAATTAGGTAGTGATTTGGAAGATGTTTTGGATGATGATTTGGAGGATAGTTCGGACCCTCGACTGGCTGAGCATGATTCTGACCTTGACTCTGACCTTGACCTTGACTCTGACCTTGACCTTGGCTCTGACCTTGAATTGGAGGATTTGGAGCGTCGGTTCAAGAAGTTGAAAGCTCGTAGAACTTCTGGCCATTTAGACTATAAGGGTTTGGGTAGTGGTTTGGATTATGATTCAGATGATGACTGGTTTCCTTACGATCCTCGTATGTATGAATAAAGCATTAATTACTGACTTTAAATTTGGTGCAAATGCCACATTGTTGGTGATGGATGTGATCGATGGATTCATAAACTACAGCCGTGTCCATGTAACATGGAATACTTGCATTCATCTTGCAGTAATTGCATTTTACTTTCAAATAAACAGTCGTCAAATGTTCATTATGCTTTACTACGCTTTACTATGCTTTACTACCAAAAACCGACTGCTTGTTCAATTGACATGTTCAATTCTTTTAAACAACCATCATATGATGCTCATACAACCAAATTATCACTTTGTCCATCATTGCCATAGTAATGCATTGTACAATCACCAAGTCTGGACACAGACTCGTCCATTGCAGTCCACTGATTCAAATCGACTATTCTGATGTCATCAGTCAAACTCATATTTATTGTAACCCAAACCACAGATACGTTGCGCTGTAGTTCAGATAACAATGATTGCATGTTTCGGTAATACGATTGTTGTTTTCACGCCAGTCAACAGAAGATCAATCAAGTTTGATAATCAATTCAAAGAACACAACGCTGGCTAATAAATTGGTACCAATCGTTTAATGGAACTGACTATGAATTATACTTTGATACCTTACTTGGTGGTTCATTTACACGAATACAGCTGTAATTCAAGCCATAATACGATTCAAACAAAGAATACAAAACCAATAATGGATTGATAAAAGAATGTTTGGATAGTGTTCAACTTTGAATTCAACAGTTGCAAGTCCGAGTTTTTGATCGATTTTTATTCAAATGTTTAGTTGATATTTGATAGATTTACCAAATTGAATATCATTATGAAGTGATCAAATCAATTATTTCGAGTTTAATTCATCCCAACTTTTCAAATCATTATCACGATTTATGTAGTTGATAAGACATGTGTTTCAACAAAGCTTTTATATTGCGGTCTTGACTGTTTATTTTTTGTATTTATCAAGCTTAGTTGAATGGTAGTTTTCCATGACCATTTTGGTACTAGAAACTGAATTAAAACACTCATTGTGAACAATCAATACCAACTCGATCCAACACATTTTTGAAATATCGCCACATGCTTTAAAAAATTGTATTTAAATGGTGATCAATAACATGGAATACATCCAATCATTAGAAATGTAGATAAACTACTACTTGATTTTCAATCAACTGCTTGCACAAAGTGCACCAAATCATTATAGTTATTTAGAGTTGTGTTTGATTATCAAATGTATTAGAAAACAAGGTTTTCAATAGTTATCCAAGCCTAGGATTTCCCATTGCAAATTGTTGTTGTTGTTGAAGAAAAAGTTGCTGTTGTTGGGGTGTGAGATTCATACCTCCTAAAGATCCAGGCATGCCCATCTGGGAATTCGTCATGCCTGCATTACCAAATGGTACTCCCATGTTCAGAGTCATCGCACCACCAACACCAGACCTAAAGCCGGGATTCATTCCATTCAGTGATCCATCTTGCTGTCCAAATGCACGGTTTTGTGTTGGCATCGATCTCATACCCATTGGCAAGTTTGGGTTCATGCCCAACCCAGTTCCCATTTCTGAATTGGTTACACCAAATCCTTGTTGCATACCATTTGTCCCAACTGAAGATGATTGAGCAGATTGAAATCCAGGAAAGAAAACAGGATTGGCTTGTTGCATATTAAAATTTGGAGTTGATCCTGCATGAGTTTGATAAGCCGATGCCGCCCCAAACACTCCTGACCCAGTCCCACTGTTTAGCGACATCATGTTTTGCTGATTGGTTTGACCAAACACGGATTGCGTGGTTGTGTTGGCATCTTTAAAGGCAGAGTATTTATCTGTACCAGATGCAAGAGCAGGACCAGATGGAGGAGGTCCAAATGGCATCTGTGGAGCTATTAAAAAAGTCTGTCAGAATAAATGGCAATCAAATAGTCTAAATTTTAAAACAGTTTGCTTACTGGTGTTCATCCAGTTAGGCTTGACCACACCATCAGAAGTGACCATGGTTTGTAAACCGCCCGAATGTTGCATCTGTAATGGATTCGTTATTCCAGAGCTGCCCGAATATTGTGTCTGAAGCGGATTCATCAAACTCGAACTTCCAGAATGCTGCATTTGAATTGAATTCGCCATGCCAAAATTGCCTGAATGCTGGGGTTGTAAAGGATTCATTGTGCCTTGAGCACCAGAAAATTGAGTTTGAAGAGGATTTGTCTGATTACCAAACGCGTTGCCAGTAGTAGGTCCAGTTGGAATAAATCGACCGACAGATTGAGTGTTGGTTGGAATAAGTGGAGCAGCAAGTGTGCGTGGAGTCATGGTGATATTCGTCATTGGATTTTGAAAAGCCGATCGTTGTGCGTTCAATAGATTCATATGTGCCTGCTGCTGCAAAATCATTGCCTGTCGCTCTGTTTCTTGTGCCTTCAAAAGCGAAGCTTCAGCCTGTGCTGTCTGCATCTGGGCAGCCTTGTTTTGCTGCTCAAGAAGAGTTGCCTGACGATTAGACTCTTGCGCTTTGCGAATGGCAAGCTCTGCATTTGCAAGTTTTTGTTTTGCTTCTTCTTGCTGCTGTTGCACTTTGAGAAGAGTGTTTTGAGCGGCAGAATTTACAATTGAATTTGTAGCTCCGTTCCATGGATCGTTAGAGGATGCATTGTTGGACAACAGATTTCCTGAAGCTTTAAGTCCAAGTGATGCATTAGAGCTCACACTTTGAGTGGCTGGCGGCACAGAAAAATTGGTTGTTGGTGCAGACAGGGCCGCATTATCGGTTTGTCGGTGAACAATAGTGGCGGCCTTGAGTAAATTACCGGCTTGATAAATAGTTGCAGCATTTACAGAACCAGCATTTGCACCTACAGACGATTTTCTAACCGTTCCTCCACGAGCATTGCGAACTTCCATATTTTGTAATTCACGAGCAAGCACTTCGTCAGATTTGAGTTGGTCGGACAAGGCATTTGATGGAGTGGACGTGTTTTGCATTTTCATTGCAAGTCTAGAGTCCAGCATTTGCAAGTTCCGAGACTGGGCTTCTTTCTCTCTTGCAGTAATAGTCTGTTGTGCGACCGATGACACACCTTGTAGATTGGCTGCCTTTCGAATTCGAATAATGTCACCCTCAGTAATAAGCATTTGCCTTAAAGCTTCACGGCTAATGTCATTGATCATTGACACATCTAGACGTTGCTCGGCAAACTGACGAGCGATTGCAGCTGCATCGTTGGATGCAAGACCAGCATGAATTAGCCATTCAAGCCAATTGAAATCACCATGCATATATTCTTTGGAAGTCTCTTTTTTGGATAGCGTATTATTGGATGACGTGCCAGTCTTGGCCTTGGGCGGTGCTAGAGCTGGCGCGGGAGTATTTACTGTAATCAGTTTTTCATTTCCAGGAAGCGATTTCAAATAATTCAAATCAGATTGGCATAGCTTTTCTATAGGAACAGCAATCTTGACACCATTTGATTTGTGTAGTTGAACTCGACCATCCTTGATGCCAAGATATTGTGCATCCATTTCAAATGAGCCAGTACGATCAGTCCATTTACGCAGTAAGTTAGGAGCTGGTTTTTCTTTTGGTGGTGCGGTAGTTGTTGAAGTAGAAGTTGTGCCTGCAGCAACAGGACGAGATGCAGGCGCTTTGGGACGATCTGGTATTGTAGGTGCTGCAACTGGTACCTGTACTGATTTTACAACTGCTCCTGTAGGAACTGTAGGACGAGCAGGAATTTGTGGGATTTGTGCCAAAGTATTGGCTTGAAGTGGACGTGTAGGCAGTTTAGGAACTTCTGGTTGTTTTTGAACAGTTGGTCGGGTTGGTATAATGGGAGCAACTGGAGTGTCAATTTTTGATCTAGAAGAAATAGCCATGGCTTGTTGTTGCTGCTGTTCCATCTGACGTTGATGCTCAAGTTGTTCCATTTGGCGCTGATGCTCAAGCTGTTCCTGTTCATGACGGCGTTGCTCCTCTGCTATTTGCTGCATTCTACGTTGCTCCTCTAATTCATGTGCACGATGACGTATTTCCATTTCGCGTGCTTCATGTTCTTGAATTTGTTGTCGTTCATGTTCTCTAGCTTGATATAGTGCTACAGACTCGTTACTGGCTGCTCTAGAATTTTCAGTTTCCTCCTATAACAATCAATAAACAGCATTGATAATACGATTAGCGCATGACAAATTTATGTTTAAAAGCGATATGAATGCTCACTTCGACATAGGTTTTGGGAACCAATCCTTCTTTGTTATGAGTGGTGTGCTTCACAAGCCACCAATCCGGATCAGAATCATCAACCACCACAAGTATGTCGTTTTCGCGAATCGCCAGCTCGCCTTCTTCTACAGGATCGTAGTCATAGATTGCAACTACTCGTTTGGATAACATTGTTGGCATTACATTTCGAGATGCCGAAGACGGAGCGGCTAAAGGAGGCGGAGCCATTACAGATTCAATCTGGATAGGAACTGGCTGGATTGCAGCGAATGCTACGTGTGTAGCTGGAGGAGATGAATTTTGGGCACCACTCTTGCTCTAAACTCAATGTTTACATGTAAATGTCCAACTAAAAATCAGCAGTCACAATTACAAGTTTCAATGAATTTGAACTTACAATCTGAAGAACATGCTCCAGACTGGCCACTGCTTTGGAAATCTCCGACTTTTCACCTTCATACTCTCGTGCCTCCTTGTCTTCAAATTCAAAAACAAGTTTTGTTTTTTTGTCCTTGTATCTTGTAAGCTCACTAACGGGAGTTTTTGAGACAATTTCTCGGGTCTGTAGGATCATATAATTGGGATAAAGATTCAATACTGGTATTGTCGATTGGCACACTATAGTCCAAGCAACAAAAATAAATACAATCAAACCCAGAGCAAAAGATAAACTCACTGGATTGTCCACAAAATATATAAGCAGTTCCTTTTCTGAAAATGCAATAAAGCCTTTTTTGCTATTTTTCTTTTTTTTCTTGTCAAGTTCCTATCAAATACATCAAAGCTAGATAAGTACGGTAAAGCAGTTTTAAACCAGGACTACAAGTACTGTTGGAAAACCCATCTAGTATTACCGTGACTGGGAAATACACCAATTCGTCTGGACCATAGATTTGACCAACGCTTTTAGGATCAGATTTAGGTTTTGAGAAGCCAAGACCACCCAGAGCATTTAGCAGCAAATGTTTTTGTTTTTCTGGGGCCAGCAGACTTGATGCAGCATCTTGACTGGGAGGACTGATGATAGTAGCAGATGCGGATGATTGTACAGTTGGGACTTGCTATTGAGTTGTAGAGTAATTAGACTATTTGTAGTGATTAATACAAGGAATGCTTACAGGACATAAGCAGTTACCTCTTCGATGTAAGTGGCGGGAGCCAGACCGACATGGTTGTCCTGCTTGACAAACCACCAATCTGCGTCCACCTTTTCATATACTCGAAGATGCTGGCCTTCCCTCAAGGCAATTTCCTCGTTGGTGGCAGGATTGTAGTCATACAATGCAGTTGCCAAGGATATGGGCTGAGCCTACATAGACAAATACAAAGTATAAGCCAGAGCAATTTCAATTCAAATAGTTGTAGATGATCGAGGTGAATCTGAAGCAGATGGCAGGATACTGGCAGGACACTGATAGTGCTAGTCATCATAAGACGATAGCAGAGTGTTATTACGATCAGACTGAATGTATAAAACAAGGACTGCAGTCTTGAGCCAATGTATGGCTTTCAGCTCCATGATATCCAGTAAGAATAGCAAGTCAGACTTGCTATGAATCCAGAATGAATGTAATATCCAGTAACTGCCAAGAGGTCTTGACCTATGTCAAGACCTTGATCAAGACATCTTTCCAATCGATCAAACCTACAACAGCCATGACTATTCATGGACTGACCTCTTCGACATAACTCATAGGAACAAGACCCGAATGAGCTTCTTGAAATGCATCGACTGGCTTCTCAGTAGCCATCCACCATTCCTGGTCGGTATCATCCGTAATAAACAGTAAGTCGCCTTCACGAATAGTCAGCTCTTCGTCAGTACGAGCCTCGTAGTCAAACAGACAGCGAGCAACAATTTTACAGTCTGGCATTAATGGAATAATAATACAGTCTTGATGTAAAATGCAAGTCAAAAGTCAATTCTCGTCCAATTCACTCGACTTAGTTTTGGTTGAATTCAATCTTGTCTTTTTATAATCGATTGATTTTATAGATTCGATTATTATAAAAATAAATCGAATTCTCAACTTGACTGTCGCATGTTCAATTTATTGTTATTCGTTTAGTCCATCTTAATCTGTTACTTGACGTGACTGCATTTAAACTGCTTTGTTATACTTTTCTAAACCGTTGATGAATTACATTGGAAAATAATCACCGCAAGGCTTACAAAATCATCTCCGCTCCACATTTTAATTTTCCAACTCATTCGTCTATTTCAACAACTCTCACTTAATCAGTGTTGGCACAGTTATAGGTAAACACATGTATCTGTTGGTTAATATCATGCATAAACTCTAAATTTCATTCAGCCCTTGCTTGATTCTCAATACTAATCAAATTGCTTGATTTTCAATACGAATTAAATTGCTTGATTTACCAGACTACACATCTTCAACTCCGCTCCTTTTATCCACACTTGTTCAGACCAGTCAACTTTACTTTACATACAGTATACAATATGCCTACTGATTTTGCACTGATATTTGAACTTTCCAAGACTGTGATTACCGGTGAACGGTTTGACTTGGTGCTGCATACCGCCAAAGACCTGCATCGTCCAGAAGGCCGTCAATGGCATGGACGCGTATGGGGAGATCTGACTTCTTTACATACTAGCCGAGTCCTATCCTGCACTCAGGCACCACTTGTTGTAGGTCAAATGAATATTGGAGGCTCAGTAGGTGGTCCAGGTGGAATAGCTTCTTGTCAGCAACCCATCTATCAAGGAAGCATTGAACAGATGCTCCAGGTGATCTTTTCCAGATTTGATGCAGGAGAGTTTTCTGAAGGTGTGTTTCTTGTCAAGGCCGACTATGGTCAAGAGTGGTTTTCACCAGTTTTACAACATCCACATTGTGTACTTCGACATCTTGTTCCTACGCATTCTGCTTCGAGCGAAGTATCTCGTGAGCAATTACATCATTTTTCCGGTTTGGGTGTTTCATCTACTTCTAACTCTGGTATCGGGCAAATACCAAAATCTTCATTGATCGATAGTACTGCATCCATAACCACCCTTTCACCTAGTATTGGTGGAATGGCTGTTGGTTGCTGGGCACCCTTGGACACGACTGACTCGGTGTCGGATTCATTGCATCCAAGTCCAAATATGTCGCTCAATCCAACTCCAATCATGAGATCTGAATCCATGCATCCGAGTCCTGCTACTGTATCAGTCGCGGATACAATTTCTCGAGCTAATCCCATCACTACAAGCACTACATCACCTCAGATGTTAAATGCAGTGGAATCGCATGTTCTTTTTTACCTTGGTCCTAATGTTAAAAACTTTTGTTATGCATTCTATGCCATTGGACTGATTCCTGGAGTCAACTGTTGGTAAGCATCTGCCACTCGTATCTGAAATCAACAACAGCGTTAATTTACCTTTTTTTATTTCCATTTGCTTGTGCATTGTTTACAATGTGATCAACGTCATCTAGGTCTGCAGTTATGTTGACAGATGATATGTCAATGGGATGCATGGATAGTTCAATGTCATCACCACATATACACGATCGATTTCCTTCGGATCAATCACGAGCTACTCAAAACTCGTTTACAATGCCACATGGTGTTCAAGCCGCCGCCTCAATGGTGGGCCAGCATTCAATGCTCAACATGTCCCATCAACCAAGTCACATTCAACAGCATATTTTGCAAAAACAACAGGCGCAACAACGCGCTCAACATCAACATCTACTTCTTCAACGTCAACAGCACCAACTCAAGCAGCACCAACTCCAGCAGCAGTTGCGTCAACAGAATTTACAACATCATCGTGAAATGGAATCGGCTTTGTTTAGTCCAATGGATCAGTCTATGGGTCAAGATTCACAACACAATCTGTATGCACCATCGCAGGGGCAGTTTCAAATGATGATGCAGCAGGAGCATCAACCACTAGGACAAATGTATACAGACTCACTGTTGGGTGGCATGTCTTCATCATCCACACTGCAGTCTCCTCAGATTGTGATGCCCCAATGTACACCATAGATTCCCACCTTCTTATTGCTTTGTGAAACTGTCTGATTCTTACAAAAAGGCGGACAATAGTGTAGCAGCTGCTTGTTTTGCTTATTTCTTGATATTTCATTTTTATTTACTACCCATGTTTGTTGATTCATGTTGTTGGAGCTACTGATACGTGTATTACTGTTACGGATATTTATGCGACAATGACGTTGATTTGACTCGGGTTGTTGACATGATACGCCATTTAATCTAGTAGCACCCCAATTAACTTGTTTTGATTGCTAATATCCAATCCTGTCATGTCCTGAACAAACAATACTTTTTTTTATCTTGTCGCTTATTTAGCAATAAATACTGCTCGTTTATCAGAAAAATGAAAAGCCAATTCGTGTTAAAGTACTCCAATAGTGTTTGTAGTTTATTCGTCACTATTGGCATACATTTTAAACGTGCGGTCATACAATGCTGTGGCAATGTACTTTCCATCTGTAGTTGCATAAAAAATTCAGCTGGAAATATAAAGCTCATTGACAGATTTAGCCTTTTAATTCAAATCAAATTCTTACCTCCTGAGATGTCCGCACACATGACTTTTGCTTCTAGACCTGATAGCGACTTGATTGGTTTGTAGTCTCCATCTGTCCACATTTTACATGTGCCGTCGTATGAACTTGATATCAAGAATGATCCATTGAGAAAGTGTTTGCGTGTATCTGATCCCTTACCTAACAAACCCTCTTCCTCCTTGGTATCAGCCATATCAACATCTTTGACCACCTTGCAAGTTTCTTTTAGAGGTATGTTTTGTTTTTTACTCGATTTTCCCAAGGTGGAGTCCATCAGTCCAGTCAGCTGTGGAATACACCACCCATCGTTAAGCTCTGGATGCTCAAACACGTCCGTAGCCTGCCAGTACTTGACTTGAGATACAATGTTTGTGTGTGCAGGGATAGAGTAAACAGAAGCAGCAGCTCGGATATCCCATATGCGGATTGAATTGTCTTCGCTCCCTGTAGCCATTTGATAGCCGTTGAGTGCCCAATCAAGTGATAGAATGGGCTTTACATGGCCGTTAAGAACCATGACTGATCGACCTGTACGTAGATCCCACACACGTCCAATCGAGTCCATTCCACTGGTAAATCATAATACATAGTTTTAGATGCATGCTATAACAAAGCCTATTGAAATTGTACATGTACGTTTTGCAACCACTCGAGTCAAAAGATGCCACTTACGCTGTAGCTACAAGCGCACCGTCATTTTGAAATCCAATTGCAAACACTTGGCGTGAATGACCTTCCTGCATCAGTAGTTCTTGCTGAGTTTCTGCACTCCATAGTCGCCATGTAGTATCAAAACTATATATTCAATAAAGTATCAGAAAATGATGGATACATATTTTATCATCGGTTTGTAGTGCTCATAAAGTTGCAAATATTAGATAAAACTCCAAAAATGTTACCTAGCAGTTCCAATATATTCACCTGACGGATGAAACGCAACTCGAGATACTCTCATTTCGTGTCCCTCTAGTTTGGCAATGGGTGTATCTCTGAGTAATGTATGCAATACAAATCAATGTCAGATGCATATATGGATAAGATTGGCAACTAAAAACGACCTACTTTTCCAGTGACCATAAATTCACTGAACCATCAACAGCACCACTGACGAGATTCAAAGCTGAGACGGGCTGATCAAGTGTAGCTCGCGGATGAAAAGCTAGTCCACTTACTCGATCACGGTGTCCTTGATTATATCAACATTAGTTTCTACAATAAAATAGTACAATGTGAGTGTTTTTGGAAATACGTTTACCTCTTAGCACACCAATCTGGTCAGAATCGGGAACGCTCCATAGTTTTACCATGCCGCTCCATGACGCAGTTGCAAGAACTTTGGAATTGGGTGCAAATGTACAGTATCCCATAGGTCTCTCGTCACCAAACTGTAGACTTTTGGTTTCAAATCCCTAAGATAGCCGTTGAATAGTGATACATGGTTAAGAACGTAGATTATGCAGATATTGATCTGACCTAAAGTAGTTTACCATTAGATAGGTGTAAAATTCATGCTTGGCTTTTTTACGTTGAGCAAAAGGAATATCAATCTCAGCCCGTTGCAATGCTATACGCTCTTTTGCTCTAGTCAGAAATGAATAAACTTCAGTTAGCATTTAGATTCGTTTTATGGGTAAACTATTTACTGCATGACATTTATCAAAATACCTTGGAATGGAATACTTTAAAAGGTGACGTCTGGCACATACAAGCTCTTCAGATCCATACGTGTAAAACTCTTGCATTTCAGCATTTTCATCTTCACCACTTTCTCCATCACCGCTCGAGTCACTTTCAGACAACATTGCAGCCAACTCATCACCGCCTTCCATCATTTTTGTTGACAAATATTCTCTAAGTCGATCTCGTCGTTCTCCAGGCTAGGATCAACAAAATATTAGCTCCATCTATTCAAAACATGAATATATAAATACAAGTGTTGAGTTCAGAGTTCGAGTAGATAACGTACTCGTTCGCCAAAGAGTGTGATGGGTTGAGCAAGCTTGCGTAATTTTTGTCGCACTCGACCATCATCTGTTGGTACGGCCAGCGTTCGTGCCAATCTCCGACGCTCCAGACTTTCCAAGATCGCCTTTTGATCTTCTTGAGCATGTGTGGCAATATACTCGCTGTCATCTACACCCAAACCAACAAGTCGAATGGGTTAAAAGATCTACGCATGGATTGAGTTGCAGAAAAGTTACAATGTTCATTCTTGTAACATCAAATCCAACAATCAACATAAACGTGGTGTTGATTTTTTTAAAACTTTCGAGTCCAGTCAATCACTCGATTACCTAGATCATCCAAATCAATGGCCTAAAATAAAAACACATTGAATGAGTGGTTGTTATAAGTCAATAGTTAAAAATAGAGTCAATGATTTACAGTGTCACTTGTGATATCTATTGAAGCTCCTCCATGAACAGCTGCAGTTGTAGAAGTGCCAGACCCAAGTCTCGCCTTTTCAGCTTCACTCATTGTCGTGAAAGTCGAATCACATCAAATATTGTCCATGCAAACCAAAATGTGAGTTCAAGTCACGTGTGATGAGTTTGCAACTCACAAAATTAAACTATTTCAGTCAAATCATGTTGCAGATTCTACCATCAGACATGCAGTCTCGGAAAATTAGCAGAAAACAATTTATTTCTTGATAAAGCAAAACTAGCCAAAAATGGATCATCAAAATCGATTGAAATCTCAAAGTAAGCCGATCATTCACACGAGGGAGTTGATGTTGCCGTTAGTAGTGATTCAAAATCTGTAGAGTTTAATTCCAATTGCTCCTATAATCAACCCAATCCAATAGTAGTTAGTTTAACCTATGCGTTTTTCAATAAAAAAGCAACATGAACCGTCTTGCCTGAGTATCAACAGCACACATATCGCATATTTTGGTTTCAACCCCATGTGGATGGTATTCTAGTGTTGCAATGGACAACCTCATGTGCTTGCTCACATGCTCGGCACAGTATATATTGCCACATTTTCTGCAATGGTGTCGACGAACAAATACTCCAAACTTTTTTGTACAGGTTGGATCATGGCACTCGACAGCATCCTTGTCCTCTATCCAGTGATCACGATTGAGGCTATGGATATCTACTCACAAAAGCATATTTTGGTAAATAGCCGAGATTGGATCATGGTAGAAACAGACGACTTACCAGGTCCAGTTACCAAGAGTCTGGTGTAAAAAAGACTCAACGAGTGTGAGAACCCATATTGTACCTGCGATTCCATTTTGCGGATAATCGAGTCTTTGCTTTCCAATGCGGCATCTTGCTGCTTGCCGATACTGATTGCTCGCTCAACTGTGTCTTTTATTTCATCCATTTCTGCTCGTTGAGTCGACAACATCTGTTCAGAAGACGTCAACATGCGCTGATACTCTTGTATACGAGCTACATGATTACGAATATCAATCTCTTTTTCAGAAAGAACAGTAGCATATTGTTTTAGTTGAACTCCATTATCCTCCAGCTGTTGTTGTAATATAGCGTATTGCTGAGTCACGGTTTCCAGTTGCTTTTCTAAAGCCTTGGATCGAGTAAGGACGCTCATGTACATTTTGTTGGATTCCAAAGAGTCTTGTTGAGGATTGATCTCTTTAGTCTGAAATGCAAGTGTTAAAAAAGAGTTTGTAACGGATCGTTCACACTGTTGTGAACACAAACTTGGATGCGCGTCATCACAAACACAAAACAGCTACTTACAGCATGAACAAATTCGTTTTGCATATCGGTCAATTGCTGCACTTGAGCAGTGAGACCAGCAGTGGTCTCGTCAGCCAGATGAATGCATTTCAGCAATTGATCCTTTTCCAATCTTAGCTGGCCTATGGATTGTTTTCCAGCAATGTTCAAGGCAGTGGCCTAACACGGTTGATTTTGTGATCAGCAACATGACACAAATTAATGCAGTGGTCAGTCAAGTTTCAATGAAATCACAGCTACTCTTAAAATCTAGTACACAAGTATTACCTCTGCATTTGCAGCTTCGAGTTTCATCTGATGACCTTTTTTCAGTAATCGTAATTTGTTGAGCAGCAACTGATTGCCATCAAAGGTAACTTTACGAGCAGTTGCCAGATACACTCCAACATTGGGATCCTCTGAATGAGGAATAGTGGATGGCTGTGTGTTTGGTAACTCTGCCGTCGCAATGCTATTCATGGTGGGCAGTGGTGGAAGTAAACTGTCCGTGGAAGCGACATCCGTACAAAGCGACCCACTTGTGCGAGTATGCTTGGCAATGATCTCCAAAGCAAGATCCAGTAACGGAAGTCCCTGTAAAGAATCCTGGTCCACACTATTCTCCTTTTGATCAAGTTCCTTGTCAGCAGCAGTTGAAGTAGTAGAAAGCGAACAGGCAAGTCTTGATATCAATTGCTGTAATTCAAAATGTTCCATTGCCGATTGTCGGACAAACAGCAATAGCTGATGCTGAGGATGACCAACAGGAATTGTATCGGCCAATGCATCAAATAGTCTGTTTGTTGCAGCCTCTTGTTTCTGCTGCACAATGGACCGCAATTGCAGCTGATGAAGCGTATCCGCAGCCAGCATCTCGTTGCTCTTGTCGGAATGACAAGAGACTGCAGCATCGAGACTAACGTTGTGAGTATCGACTGCTGCTTGAAGTTGGCTTCGGAGTGCCTTGACTAGTCGCTCCAACACCATATTCCGTTTCTCGCTAGTCTCAAATGTGCTGGCCATATCTGTAGTAACAACTTGTTTAACTACATCTGCATTAGCAGTCGGAGTCGAGTTTTTGTTCCTCTTTCGAGCAGTTTTGCTGGTAGTCTTGGGCTGAAGGGTGGATTTAGGAATGGTCTCTGTTCCCATCATCTTGATAAAACAGATTAGGAGTGTTTAGCGAGAGTAGAAGGTGTAGTTGGCTTTTGCTGATAACCCGAGTTGAAGCGGATGAATCTAGAAAAGAAAATCGTAATTATTCCCATCTATTGCTTGTTAACTATTCAAAGAAATATGTGTGCTGAATACACTTTTACTCTTTGTAATCGTCGGTTGCTACTGAGATTGGTCTGTAGTGCAGGTCGTATCGTGTTTATTCCAATCTTAATTAGCATCGTCACAGATCCACACTTGGTCATAACCCTGGTTCACACCCAGTGAAATGAAAAATGGTCATCAATATGTGTCATGTATTTGGCATAATATTACATACAATCCATTTAACCATACAAAAGTGTGGTTGGGTTCTTGCTTCGGTAGTTGCAACAACCTCAATCTGTACGCATGTCTGTTTGCAGATCGATGAAAAGGTTTCAAAAGAAACAGATTTACGTTGGCGAGTATTCATGAGTTGCACAGTGTACAATCTGATTGATTCTGTTTTTGTCGAGTAAAGTTGAGATCTATAGCATTTTCTTGTGATCGCGTTCGTATAATTGTTTCTCGATAATACAAGTCACGCTAACCTAAAACAATTGTGTATTTTCACAAACCAAAAGCTCTCGTTTCCAAAATGCAGTCTACTTGATGCTATCAAAATGTGTATTAAACATGATGAAAATAGAGTCTTTTACAACTAAAAAATATATTTCTCGTTTTCATGCCCATTGGCACATTTTTATCGTTCAATGTTCATTGCGTTTCCTGTCAAAGAATGTTCCATCTTCCCCTTGGTATCTGCATCCTTGGTTCTGCCAATAGATGCAATACTCAAGTCAAACCATTGATTGGGATGCTCGATTGGTTCAATCAATCCCATTGAGTTCATAGCCCCAACAAGTTCAGCTTCATCATTCCCATCCTTTTTCTTGTTTCGATTTTGGACTGCACTCACTGCAGCATGAACGTGTCCTCTCGTCAGTTCAAATAACTTTGTGCACGCAATCTGATAATGTCCATTTTTGGCAGTTTGCAACACTTCTTGAGCGTTGGCTCCATCCACTTTCAACCGCTGCATCATAGTCCCCAAGCTTTCTTGCGAAAAGTGTCGGAATGGACATCCATGAGCATCTCCAGCTCCAGGCTGAGCCCCTGTAATAATTTTGACACACGAGTATGGGGTATAATTCGTACGCTTACCCTCCTGTCCATAATTGTATCGCACATTGTATAGATAACCTTTTTTACTAAATTCATCATCCGACATACGATGAAAGGATTTGCGCCAAAAGATGAGTGCTTCTCCCAACGAGAGGCCAATGCCTTTGAGAAACAGGCCAAGTTGCAATCGTCCTTGATGCTTGAGATGAGAAGTTTGTTTAAGTGAAGAGTGCAGAGATTGCATACAGGGTGGAAAGTGCACCGCCAACCCATCGATATCTTCGTGACCGACATCTTTGGAAACTTTTCCGCTCGGTGTATACTCATTACTCAAGTATTGTTTGGCAAGCGAATTGAGGATAGGCACAAGACGATCATCTTCATCCAGCCGAGGTAATGCTTTTGCCGCAGCAATCAAATGAGCGGTAAGTTGGTCCTTGAATGCATTCACAACAAGTACCGATCGTTCGTGCTCTGGAACATATGCCATTCCTTGAATCAGCAATACAGATCGTTTTCCAACAAGCTCGCACACTTGCTCAAAAGAAACTCTGTAGAATGTGAGCGAACGAATGGTATCTATATCTGCAAGCTGGGCTTGCATGCTAGCATTATGGGGACCTGTGTACGTAGCTCGTAGATCCATGACAAGTTTTTGAACGGCTTCTTGCTTGGTGATATGGCCTGCACTTGTCTCCATTCGTAACTTGCACATATCTTCAAATGACACTGCAGTAAAATCCAGATTTGAAAGATGAATAAATGCATCCCTGTCTACTTGCTGCTCAATGCCAAACCTATATTTGAACAATGCCATTTCTTGTTTGATGAACCATTGGCGTAGATCTTCTGTGCGACAATAAGCCATACGCAAAATAAAATGACTGATATGATCTTTTCGGCGCTGTTCATAAAGAACTGATGGTCCCACTGTATTGAGTAGAGTGTTGCGCTTAAGATCGAGATGGGACGTAAGCACAGGGTCAATGTATTTGACAGCAGCGACATCACCAATGTGTTTAAAGCGCAAATGAGCGGTTTCAATTGCTCGTAAGACTCTCAGACGGTCCAAAGCATAGGTTTCAAATTCATAAAGAGAAAGCTCGTCTTTGGGAGGAGTGGAGTACATGTTGAGAGTGAATGGATAAAGAGAGGCCAAGCGGGGATCCACTTTGGCTACAGTCGAGAGACTGGAAATGGAGACTGCATGATCGTGTGCTGCATCTGTACGAGTAGGATGAGATGAATTGTTTCTTCCTGTTATACCACCAGTAGATCTTCCCTGCTTGAGCATATGCGATTCGTTGATGGTTGGTCAAAGTGTTAAAATTTAATTGTCTTCAAATTCGGACATGTCATGTGACCATTTGAAAGCTTCTCGGCGGTCATGGGTTCATCTCTGACTAGATGTCGGATCTTGTTTAGCATGTTTACAGTATTATTACTCAGTAGAATAGACTGTGTACAACAACAGAGTATAAAAGTTGTTTCAGTCGATAGTAATCCAGTGTTATACAGCATATATGATTATTCATGAATGTTGACATGACTCAAGAGTATGGTGTCCATGACATTGGTAATGCAATCAAAGATACGATAGCTATTCAGGTTTAGGAGTAGCTGATCAAGCCATGCATAGTGTAGATCTTGATGCTGCATAATCATTTAAAATGGAATCTTTTTAAGCTGTATTCGACACTTGGATTTATGCTGTGTCCAGTTATGATCTGAGCATTGGCTGCCTTATACTTGCCAATTTGAAACAACCGGGAATCAAACTCAAACTGTTCAACATATTGCGCAAAGGAAACCTAATACATGCCAGACAGTTTGTGGATCCATTTTACTTTCGAGTCAATACATGTTATACAATGGCTGTTTTAAACACCATTATTGCCATCCAAACACATTGCTCACAAACAGCAAATCAATCGTATGATAGCCCTGACCAAACAGAACTCATAGGGTTGACACTCATCAACCCAAAATAACAGATATGATCAAGCAACCAGTTCAAAAAATACAGATCAAGCGGCAGAATCGAGCAAGATACTTGACAACCATTTACTAAAAAGCAAATTATGATGATTGGATAGTGTATGGATAAATACAGCACATTTTGTTACGTTCAATTATTCGACATAGCTGGCATATAACATACACAGCCATGGTGGTATACAAGCAATCCATTAGCATGCAAGCTGTGCAATTGCAATGGTTGAAATGCTGAACAGACCTATGTAAGCACCACACGCCAGACCCAAGACTGAATGAGCATAAATATTGGCAATGCTGCAGCTGACAAGCGACTATCTATTGACAAGCCAATATGTTCTGTATATTTGATACATGGACTGGCATAATTGACAAATGTCAATACACCATTAATCATCATATTGATTGAACTGGATTCACAGTAGTTTGAGTTGGATGTTGTGTTGGATAGTAAAATACAATTGATATGGCATGTGTGATAATATGGATAAATTGGTTAATCTACAAATTCGTTGCTTTATTTGTTCTAAATATATACCTCGATTTCGTTATCTTGCTCGATATCAAGCATTTTAATAAAAGCAAAGCATAGCATATGGATGCAAGAATATCAAGCATTAGTATTGCCAGTCAAGACCATCAAGGTATAAAAATGAGTCGTCAGCCACTATCAAACATCATCAGACTGCTACAAATCAACAACTCAATCCGTATAGTATTGATACGCTTGCGAAATACATTTCAATAGTATAGTGCAGCCAGGATGAAATTTTCACTACTAGCCATTGCTTCTGTTGCGTTCGTTGTCAATGCTCAAGGAAATAAATCTGGTATGCAAATCTGTTGATCAGTCTATTTTATGTTGGGTTTATCAATGTTTGGATTGTGCAATCGTTCAAAACTGTACTAATTGACGTACATTATAGAATCCATGCCTAAATGGGCCTTTATCAAGGAACACCGTGACGCTGGCAGATTTGTTTTTATGCCATACACTGACGAACAACGAAACGTCGTGCTGACCAATGTTGAAAATGGTTTGAAATTGTGGCCCAACTATGAATCTAAAATCAAACACTATGGTGAGCGTGCCGATCCCTTCCCGATCATCAAGAAACTGCGTGCAAAACTGGATGCATCCAATCTTACTGATACTGAGATGCAGACTGAACTCTTGAGTGCGTTTATTCGCATGCGTGACTATCATACTCGTTTTGAGCCATCTGGACCATATTCTTGTTTCCGTGCCACAACTGGTCTTTTTTTCAGATTTATCGAGGGCGATGCAGATATGGTCAAGAAACCAACTGTTGTTTTTCAAACTCACACCGGCGATAAAAGTCTGCGTGCTTTTTTTGGAAAGGACTATGACCAAATCAAAGTTGGCGACGAATTACTTCTTGTTGATGGTATGACGTTTGTTGACTATCGGAACTTGAACCAGGACAAAACACGTGGATCTAATGATTATGGTGGTCAGCATGGTGCTCTTAAGTACATGACGTCTCGTCCTGGTTCCTTTACTCTTTTGCCAGAAACTGATACAATCAAATATCGGCTCAAATCAAAAGATACTGGAAAAGTGTACGACATTGAAGCTCCGTGGGTGGTTTATTTTGATTCGTCATGCTGGAACATTACTAGCCAATTGTATGCCAAAATTTCTGGAAAAACTCTACCTGGAACACCTCAGCCTGCCGACACGAACAGTATAATTGACACTGATGCACCTGATACCGGAGTCAAACGTCAGTTGAAGACTTGGGAAGAAGTCAAGACTCCATCAATGATATCCGAGCATGACCATAAAGAGCAAAAGACTGGTCAAATTTTACTTGAACAGCCATCACAAAACCATACTTTCAAGTACCAAAACGCCAGCGTGTCTACCATCAGCTGGGCAATCTGGAAACCCGAGTCCAAGAATCTTGGTATTATTAAATTGGACAGTTTTATGCCAACAAACCTTAAAACTGGTGCACCAGCAGATACAGAGGCTGTTCGTGAAATCCATAAACTTCTGAGCACTGTACTTAAAGACACCAATGCTGTTATATTTGATCTTCGTGCAAACTCAGGTGGTAGTGGCGATCTTGCCAATGCCATTCCACAACTTTTCAAACCTGATTTTCAACCGATGCCAATGAGATACTTGATGAGTTCTGTCGCATACAATACTCTGGTTAATGGCACGTACTTTGTTGACACTTCTGGTCCAGCATGGTACAAGACTCCACCTGGTAGCAAGTATTCTGTGAATTGTAACAGAACTTCGTATAATCAGTCAAACTTGTATGGCCAAGCCTATCTCAAACCTGTTGGTATATTCACTGATGCTGTATGCTACTCAGCATGCGATCTGTTTTCAGCGTCTATTCAGTCGTCCGAAACTGGCCATGTTTTTGGTGAAGATGGAACGACTGGAGGTGGTGGTGCTGACATGTCTTCGCTTGATCCAGAACTTCTTTTGCTCAATCCCATCGATTTTAAGCCAATGCCGTATTACCAAGAACTGTTCGACGAAACAGCTGGTCGAAGCTATGCCAACATTCTTACAGTCGGAGTTGGACAGATTGTACGTAATGGAAAACAAAAAGGTCAACTGGTTGAAGATACCGGTGCCATAACTGAATACATTGTACGACCCCGTTTGACGGATATACTGCCTGGATCCACTGAAAATTCTCAATTTGACCGTATTGCCGATCAGCTTAAAACATTGGGTGTCAGAACTGGACTGAACAATCTTCACTTTGTTTCTGAACTTACCAACTATAACACCACTAGCAGCGATGTAACCATTGATGTAGAAGTTCAAGGAATCAATCAACTGTCGGTTGTTGATGACACTGGCAAATCACTTTCAGTTGCCAAGTTTAAAAGCAACATAAAAAGTCAACACTCGTTCAAACTGGCATCTGTAATCAACGATCTTGGTAATACTCGGGTCAGTATCATTGGCCAAAACAACGGCAAACAGGTTCTCAAAACGTACAAGCACATCAGTCGCACTCCAAAACAACAAGACCATTTTAAACTTGAACATGGTGTCAAATGGGTGTTTAATGGTACCAGTAAATCGGTTGGAGTATACAACTCACCATTTACCAAAAAGTCACAAGGATGGAACTCGGTCAATGGTAAATGGGTTATTGGCGACGGAGTACAATACAGTCCTGAAATAGAGACTGAGATCCGATCATACTATACTGCACCAGTTGGATCCAACATCACCACTAAAATTGATGTCACGCTTGAATCACAACTTTATAGCGACTTTTTAGGACTGTATGTCACAGATGCGGATGGCAATGTGGAATCGCTTTTGAGTACGCTTGATTCGGATGGTAATATACTTACAAATAGTATTTCTGGATCCGAAGCAATTGTGAAAAAGTTCCCAGTGACAACCAAGACGGAACAGTTTTTTGTTAGTCTCATTTTCAAGTCAGATCTTGCTATACAGATAAAAGGAGCAACAATCAATTCTTGGAGTGTTACCATGAATTGAAATGGGTTGTAAATGTTTCTGAATGTATGATTAATTGCACCATCAGATCATGTTTGAATAAATACAATGTTTGCATAACTATCTTGTACATTATTGTTTAAATTTATTTCAATCAACACATGTAAACTTTTTATTTAGTCGAGTGAAATATGCAAGTTTCAAACCATTTTTTAAATTGAACTGGTTTTGTCATGGATGGAATATTGCAAGTGTTTTTAAACTTGTCAGGTTTTTGTATTTTTTGGTGTTTTAGACATTGGAATGAAAGTTGATATTGAGTATTTACCATACCAATCAGAGTTGTCATGGTTGTTTAATGAAACTTGGTACAGATCTGGATAAAACCGCATTTAAACCTGCATTTTCAATGGTCTGATGCGACATGAGATCATTCGAATTGATAATGGTCATTGCACTATTGTCTTGTTCTTGTTCTTGGACTCTTTCACTGGTTTTTTAGCTTTCATAGCCGGTCTCGAGTTGATTACTTGATTCGCATTTGGTTGATGATTTCAACTGGTATTTAAAACTATGGTTTGATTGGCAGCATCAAAGCAGTTGAGCCAAACATGTGGACTGCAATGGATGAGTTTGGTGATCGTATAATATATGGTTATACCAAATAATGAATATATTATGCA